TTGAGCATGGGCCAGCCACTCTCTGGGAGTCACTCATATCCATTATTGCTGCCTGAAACCCAAAGTACTGCTTTAACCAGGGACAAACCTATAGCTGCTGGAGGCCAGTGGACTTGGGTCCATTCTGGCTCCAGCTCTTGGCTGTTTGATCTCAGGCATCTTATCACACTCTTTGAGATTAAGTTTCTTTATGTAAAAAATGGACTAACGATATTTATCTGGTGCAGAGTAAAAGTCAGCATATTAAAATTTTAAACTTATTAATAAGTTGAATTTGGGCTGGGGATGTTGCTCAAGTGGTAGCGCACTCACCTGGCATAGGTGAGGCACTGGGTTCGAGCCTTAGCACCACATAAAAATAAAATAAAGATATTAAAAAAAAAGTTGAATTTATCAAAATTTGAATTAAATCTTTAAAACAGTATAGTTAATACAAAAATTCAAATACTCCCAAAAATATACACTAAAAGTTATTCCCTACCCTCATTCTCCTTCCTGAGAAGCCAGTAACACCATCAGGTAAATCTTTTCAGTGTTCTTAGTGATAATAGCTACTGAGGACCAGGGCTTGATGTCAAGGTGGTGCCAAGGAACAGTTCTGCTGTCACCTCTGATTGATGGACAGCATCACCTCTGTTCTGAGAGCAGGAAACAGGCACAGAGTGATGGAAATACCTGACCTGGAAGGAGAAGAGTCAGGATTCAAACCTCCAGATGATTTCAAGTTTGTAAATCTCTGGAACAATAGATATGAGCACCCCTCCATCACACAACCAATGCCTTTTCATCAGGAGCTGGGCCCAGGATGCCCCGTGGGAGAACGAGGGAGGGCACTTCGCTATCTGTATGGATACAGGACAACACTGTAGCTAAAAATCATAGTGGCAGGTGCCAGATTGGGTCTGCTAAGTCCCTTACAAGGATCGCCTCGTTTCAGCCTCTAACAACCCTCTAAGGTAGGCACTACCATTTCCATTTTATAGATGCTAAAACCGAGGCTCAGAGAGGTTAAAGAATTTGGTCAACTTTTTACAGTTTAGAAAAATAAGAGGAGACAAAATTCAGAGCCAGGCAGGCCAAGAGTAGACTGTCCCCTGTGGAGGTGGGTGAAGGTGGGAGGTCAGAGGTAAGAAGAGCAGGAGTGGGCTGGGGATGTAGCTCAGTGAGAGAGCCCCTGCCTAGCACACGGGTTCAATTCCTAGTATCCGGGGGTGCGGGGAGAGCAAGAGGGAGCATTCAGTAGACCCAGAGAATGCAGGGGCCTGAGGAGAGAGGTCCTCATGAGGAAGGGCAGGGGGTGAGAGCTGACAGTGGGCAGCAAGGTTCTGGGGCAGGGCTCCAGGAAACAAGAGCTGATCTGTCTTCTGCAAGTTTATTGAGGGGAAATGATGGGGCACAGGTGGATGACAGATCCAGGTCAGGAGAAGGGACCGCCTGAGGGCTGTTCCAGCCTCACTGTCTAGCAGAACAGCCACCTCCCAGAGTGTGACAAAACAATAATCCTTTGTCTTGTTCTTGAAACTGCGGTGAGACCAGACTGAGTGGCTTAAAGCCGGGGCTGGAGTCCTCTTGCAGTCCTTCCTGCAAACATGGCCAGTGCTCGCTGCTGCGTCCACGTGGGCCTTTCCCTGCAGCTAGGTGACTTCTTCTTCTTTCTTTTTTGTACCAGGGATTGGACCCAGGGGCACTTAAACTCTGAGACACATACCCAGCCCTTTTTTATATCTTATTAGGGACAGGGTCTCCCTGAGTTCCTTAGGGTCTCACAAAGTTGCTAAGACTGAGTTTGAACTTGTGATCCCCCTGCCTCAGCCTCCTGAGTCTCTGGGATTTTAGGCACGCTCCACCACGCCTGGCAGGTGACTTTTTCATAGTAAGGTGACTGCGTTTCAAGACTGAGTATTGTGCCGGGTGTGGTGGCACACACCTGTAATCCCAGAGGCTCAGGAGGCTGAGGCAGGAGAATCACAAGTTCAAGGACAGCCTCAGCAACTTAGTGAGGTCTTGTGTCAAAATAGAAAATTGAAGAAAAGGGCTGAGATATGGCTCAGTGGTAAAGTTCCGCTGGGCTCAATCCCTAGAACAACAACAACAACAACAACAAAAAAAACATTATCAGCAACTAAGAAGGAATTGTCACGGCTTTTTTAATGACCAAACCATAGAGGACACTAGTGTCACTTCTGCCCTATTCCATTAGTCGAGACAGACATAATGTTCTTCCCAGTTTGCTAGACGTAGGGTGAACATCTGTAATCCCAGCAGCTCAGGAGGCTGAGGCAGGAAGATGGCAAGTTCAAAGCCAGCCTCAACAACTTAGCAAGGCCCTAAGCAACTTAGTGAGACCCGTCTCTAAATAAGATCTAAAAAAAGGGCTGGGGATGTGGCTCAGTAGTAAAGCACCCCTCTGTTCAATCTCTGGTATGTGTGTGTGTGTGTGTGTGTGTATTCATTCCCCAGTTTTAATGATATTGGCCAAATTATATTGTTACATCGTGTGCATATATGAACATATAACAACAAATCCCACTATTATGTACAACTATAATGCACTGATGCAAATAGGGAAAATAAATAGATAAATGGAATTGCCTTTATTTTATTTTTTAAAAAATATTTATTTTTTAGTTGTAGTTAGTCACAACTAAAATTTATTTATTTATCTTTATGTGGTGCTGAGGATCAAACCCAGGGCCTCACATGTGCTAGGCAAGCATTCTACCACTGAGCCACAAACCCAGCCCTGGAATTACCTTTAAAAAAGAAGATTTACCCAGCTTTAAGGGAAGGGGCATAGACCCCTACCGCTTGATGATAAGGTTGACAATGTTACATTGAAGAAGGGTTTGTGGTATCTGATAAAGGATTTGAATTGAGAACATGTAAAGAACTCAAAATTCAATAAGAAAACAAATTCAATAAAAAATGGGTAAAAGACTGAACAGACATTTGACTAAAGAATATATGTGGACAGTAAATCAGCATATGAAAAGATATGCAACATCATTAGTCATTAGGGAATACAAAACAAAACCACCTACTACACACCTAGTGTAATATCTCAAACAATAACAGTTTTAAAAAGTGACAATACCAGGGCTGGGGTTGTGGCTCAGTGGCAGAGCACTTGCCTAGCATGTGTGGAGCACTGGGTTTGATCCTCAGAACCACATAAACATGAACATAAAATACAGGCAAGCTATCCATCTACAACTACAAAAAAAAAATTTTTTTTTTTTAAATTGACAATACCAGTGTTGTTGGGAACTCTCTTACCCAGCTACTGTGGGAAACGTTTTGGCAGTTTCTTTGGACATTAAACATCCACATGACCCAGCCTCACAGTTCCAAGGTATTTTTCCAGGAAAAATGTAATCTGAACTAGAGAAAAATAGAGACAACCTAAATGTCCATCAGCAGGTGAATGGAAAAGGAAACTGTAATGTGGCCATACAGGGAAATGCAACTCAGCAATAAAGAAGAATTAACTGTAGACACCCACAACAACACGGGCTGCTCTCAAGATTATTAGGTGGAATGAAAGAAGACAAACAAGTGTACATCCGGTATTACTCAATTTCTACAAAAGGCTAGAAAATGCAAACTAGCCTATAGGGATGGTCCATAGGACGGTGGCTGGAAGGGAAGGGAAGGATGGCAAAAAGGAACCAGAGAACTGTTGGGGTGACGGGTATGTTCAATATCTTGTCTGTGATATTTCACAGGTGTAGACATATGTCCACATTTATCTAATTGCATGTTTTTTTTCAAGGTAATGGGCCTTGTACATGCTGGGCAAGCACTATACCACTGAGCCCGTTTAGTTGCATACTTTAAATATGTGCAACTTACTGTGTCAATTATATCTCAATAGAAAGAAATGACCAATATGAGGATGGAAAAGAAAGCAGAGCCCAGGGGACGGGGTACATTGTGGGGGCCATCTTGGGAAATATCTCCTTCTCCCAGGGTTTGCCACACTAGGGTGCTGTGTGCTGAGCGCTTTACCGCAAGGTCATTGGGCCCACTCAACACTGAGAGGGAGGTAAGAGGTGGTTAAATTATTTATTATTGTTATTTTTAACTCTTATCATTGAGCCACAAAGTCTTGGGCCCTGGGAGGAAAGGGGGTTCCAGGGCTTGGGTGGCCGAGGCCTCCTTGAGGCCGATAGGAAGCAGAGGTTCCCACTAGAGAGTAACATGAAGAGGCCATGTGTGGTGGACCTCGGGGTGGAGGTCAAGGCTGAAGAGGCAGGGAGGGGCCAGTACCTCCTGCAGTCCCTCCTGCAGCTCGGATAGGGGGAGTTCTCCCTTCTCCTGCCCATATTTGTCCCTTTGGATAAGTAGAAGCCTGGCCTTCGTCCATTCTCTCTCCCTTTGGCAAGTACAACCCAGGTTTCAACTGGGAACTGCCAGAGGTCCACAAAGATCAACTGACACCCCTCTGCCCTCCCTGGCTTCCAGATGATCTGTGCCTGGTCAGCCTCCTGACCACAGTGATTGGCTTGGCAAATAGGTGACCCAGGATACATCAGCGTCAGCACTTAGCTCTAAATAACAGGAAAGAGATCCTCCTTGAGCTGGGGTGGCTCAGCCACTGGGTGCCAGGTAGGTGTCTCCGCCATCTGGAGAGATCCCGCTGAGGGTCAAATGAAACAGATGGCAGAGCAGAGAACAGGACAGGTGGGTTTCTGACATCACTCTCAAAGCCCATGGATCCAGCCAAGGACCGCCCTAGGACTTGGTGGTTTGGGGGGCCAATAAATCGCCTCCTCTGAGTGGGCTGCAGTTGTGTTTCTTTCTTTGCACCTGAAGCAATGCTCTGGGTTTTACCCCAGTGTTACTCCCTCCGGCCCCCAGACCCAGGGGCTTTCCGATACAGCCCCGGATGTTGGCCCACAACTGCCCTGCACCTGTGTCTGCGCCCGCCCTCCACACTAGGGAGGAAGTAGACACCAAGCCTTGATTCTGAGGCCGCAGAAGGGCTGCACTCTGCGTCCTTGGCTGACATGGACATGATAATCCAACCAAGGCTTCTGAGGGGAGCTGCGTCCAGGCCTGGAGTGGCCCTGCTGCTCTTGCTGCTGTTCATCTCAGGTGAGGTCCTCCCTCCCCCGACGAGATCCTCTCTCTCTCCTTTTTTATGGGGGTAGGGTGGTAAGAGATGAATTCCTGTGAAGGAGCCCATTGGGGGCTTCTTAGGCTGGGGTCAGGAACAGAAGCCATGGGCTGGGGATCCCCTACTGTGGGAGCTTGTGGGTCCCTCACTTGCCTCCCAGTGGAGAACCCAGGACCTGAGGGTGGGAGGGCACTGACAAGGGGAAGCTGAAGGGCAGGAAGAGCCCCTCGAACCAGAGCCAGAGAGGCTGTTTTGGAAGGCAGAGGAGGTGGTGGTGGGATCACCTACACAATGCTGTCCTAGGTAGGGCACAGGTATAATAGAAACAGGTGACATCAATCACATTGGATCCTAGGACAGTTGGGGGGTTGTGTCAGGAGGGGTACCACACTGGAGTGAGCAGGGTCTGCTGGGATGGGGAGCAGAGGTGGAGCAGGGGAGGCTGAGCCCCACTCAGCACAGGCAGACCTGGGCTGGGCAGGTGTGGGTGGGGAGAGGAGGAGGGTGGTGGAGAGGGCACTTTGAGATGTCATACTCCCTCCACAGTGGGGAATAGGGGCAAGGGGCTTGTTCCTCACTGTAATTTGTGGAAATGAGACCAGAGAGCAACTGAACGTGCCCAGACAAAAAACTAGCCTGGGCGGCTTCCACAAGAGGGTGAGGGATACCAAGGACCGAGAGGCTTCCGGGGCTGCTGGGACTGTGGAAGTGCAGGGAACAGGACTAGCCCAGCGAGGTGAGGACAGGAGACTAAAGAAGGAAGTGGTCAGAGTTAAGTGCTGCAGAAAGGTCAAGACGAGACTATTAGGCACAGACTAGGTCTTGGTGTTCGGATGTGGTGGGAGACAGAGGCTTGCTTTTTTCCAAAATGTAAAACCTTCAATTTTTGTTTGTAATAGTAAAGCATGAAAAATGACATCAAAATGAGTATTCTGGGGCTGGGGTTGTGGCTCAGTGGCAGAGCACTCGCCTAGCACATGCGAGGCCTTGGGTTCGATCCTCAGCACCACATAAAAAAAAAATAAAGGTATTGTGTCCAACTACAACTCAAAAATAAAATAAGAAGAAAAAATTAAAAAAAAAAATGAGTATCCTTTACAAGGCATGTGATCTCCTGCACTCCTATCCCCACCCAGTGGCAATCTGTGGTTTCACACACTCACTCCCAGTGATGGAATATGGAATATGGAGCAATGGGTCACAAGCATGTAGGAGAGTTCAGTCCCTCCACGCATTTGCCAAGATGAAAGATTACCTGCTGTTTTATTCTCAGCCTTTCAGGGGCAGATGCTGCTGTCTCCTTGCTTTTCCGATTGAGATTGGGCACTTTGTCATGTTTATTGATCTTATGGATTTCCTCTTTTGTGAAGGATCAGCTCAAGTCTTTTACACATTTTTCTGTCGGTTTGTTGATTTTTTTTTTGGTACCAGGGATTGAACCCAAGGGCGCTTAACCACTGAGCCACACCCCTAGTCCCTTTTATTTTTTATTTTGAGATAGGGTCTCTTTCACTAAGTTGCTTAGGGCCTCGCTAAATTGCTGAGGCTGGCTTTGAACTTGTGATCCTCTTGTCTCAGCCTCCTGAGTAGCTGGGATAACAGGTGTGTGACACCAAATCCAGCTAGACATGATGTCCTTTACCCCTAAAGCTGTCCGTTGGTATTTCCTAAAAATAAGGAATCTCCTTATATAATACAGTACAACAATCAAAATCAGAAAATTGACCTTGATAAAATATGATGACAACTATGGATCCTACTCAAGTTATACTGGTTGTCTCACCAATATTATTATTATTTTTAAAATTTTTTTTAGTTATACATGGGCACAATATCTTTATTTTGTTTATTTATTTTTATGTGGTGCTGAGGATCAAACCCAGGCTCTCACACGTGAGAGGCGAGTGCTCTACTGCTGAGTCACAACCCCAGCCCCAATCTCACCAATATTATTTAGAGCAAAATAAAAATCTTTTTATTTTCTGGCGCAGGGACCCAATTTAGAATCCCACACTGCTTTCAGTTCTCACGGCTCCTTAGTCTCTACTCCAGAGCAGCCCTTTGCCTCTGCTTGCATGACAGGTAGCCTGTGCCTCATTCTGGGTTGTCGCTTCCTCTTGATTAGATTCCAACTCTGTATTTCTGACAAGAGTACCTCGGAAGGACGTTGTGTCCTGGGCGCACTGCAGCAGGACATGTGGTGCCTTCTGTCCCATTGCTGATGATCTCAGCCTCCATCGGGTTGTTCTCTAGTGTAAATTACTATTTTTTCCCTCTTTATAGTTAACGAGTAATTTGTCCCCAAGCACCCTGAGAATACGTGAACATTCCCATGCTCAATACACAAGAAAGTGAACAAAACCAAAACCCCTGAACTCTCACCCACTAGTTTTATTGTTCACTGATGAGTCTGGCTGAGACAATTTACTGTGGTTGTTGTCAAATGGCAATTTTCTTTTTCCTCCCTCCCTCCCTCCCTTCTTTCCTCCCTTCCTCCCTCCCTTCCAGGGATTGAACTCAGGGGCACTTAATGCTGAGCCACATCCCCAGCCCTATTTTATATTTGATTTAGAGACAGGGTCTCACTGAGTTGCTTAGAACATCTCTAAGTTTTTGAGGCTGGCTTGAACTTCCAGTTTTCCTGCCTGGGATTATGCTTGGTGGATGGTGATTTTCTGACTCTCTAAGCCCTTCTACTTGTACTAGTTGGAAGTCTGTGGACTGAGATTTTGACTGTATTGTGTCTGCCTCTCAGGTACCTCTAGTCTGGGCCTAGCTATCCAAGGCTTTCAACGAAATTCTACAATATTCACCAACGTCTCTGCTTTACCCCCCCACTCTCTCTCCATTAGTTTCCTTTTTGTATTTTATTTTCAGCACACAAAAAGCATACATAAAAGAATAACAATGAGGGCTGGGGATGTGGCTCAAGCGGTAGCGCGCTCGCCTGGCATGCGTGCAGCCCTGGGTTCGATCCTCAGCACCACATACAAACGAAGATGTTGTGTCCGCCGAAAACTAAAAAATAAATATTAAAAAATTCTCTCTCTCTCTTAAAAAAAAAAAAGAATAACAATGAAAATCCCCACCACACAGCTAACAAAGTACTCCGCCCACCTCTCCGGTGTTTTCGGTGGGAGCACATGGTCTTGTGAACCAGCACTCGATCTCTTGGCTCTTCATTTTCTAAAAAGCAATGACAGACTCACCATATCTATCTCCTTTCCGAATCCTACCTTCTCCAATATTTCTTTACATCTTTTAAAACTAGAAACGTGAAATTTGGGGGCTGGCGCACTGGGTGTTTAACTCTTTCAATTTACTGATGGGAAAATTAAGGCCCAGCAAGAGGAAATGGGTCACTCCTAGTCAAGCAGCAAGAGGAAAGAGCGAAAGGAGGATTCTGCTCTACTAGTAACTTACAAGATTAATCTGTAATTAGTGTCCTAGAATATTCACACGATCCTATGTGTACCAAGTCATCAGGTGCCTAATTACACACTGGCTAGCATTGCTTGCTGCTGCTTCATGTTTTGGTTTTTCTCAACTAGTCTTTAAGTTCCTTTTCATTAGGGCATATCTCTTAAATCTCTGCCTAGAGCTCAAGACTTAACATATGTGTAAGATTTGTACCAACAATGTGCCAGGTGCTGGACCAATCACTTTACATGCATTTTTTTTTTGGGGGGGGTACTGGGAATCGAACCTAAGAGCACCATTAACCATTAAGCTATACCCCCCAGCACTTCCGCCCCCCCCCCCCCGGCCACCGCCAGACAGAATCTTGCTAAGTTGCTTAGGATCTTGCTGAATTGCTGAGGCTGGCCTGGAACTTGAATCCTCCTACCTCAGTCTCCAAAGTAGCTGGGATTACAGGTATGTGCCACTGTGCTGGGCCCATATTCATTTTTTTCATTTACTCTTCATAATAATTACTGATATTATTATAAATCTGCTATATATTAATATGTGCTATTTTTTCCCCTCCAACTAATGGGAAACAGAGGCTCTAAGATCTTCATCTTAGAATCTCCCAACATCGCACAGCAATCTGTGACACAGTTCAAACTCCAGACCTCTAGCTTTGAAGCCTGTGTTCTTCCTATTCAGCTAGGTTGCTTCTTCTTGAATATACCTGTTAGACAAGAGGTACACTGTTTCGCACCACAGTGAAGAGCACAACTGATAGATGTTCTCACAGATTTTGGTTCAGTTTGCAGGGCATCCCTGGGACAAAGGAAGTGTTTGTAGATGGAGAAATGCCACTCATATGTTTGTTATCAAAAATAGTCCTCTAGCCAGGTGTGGTTCCCTTGACAATAATCCCAGTGACTGGGGAGGCTGAGGCAGGATGATTATAAGTGCAAAGCCAGTCTCAGCAACTTAGTGAGGTTCTAAGCAACTCAGCGAGACCCTGTCTCTAAATAAAATACACACACACACACACACACACACACAAAAGGGCTACTGGGGATGTGGCTCAGTGGATGAGTGCCCCTGAGTTCAATTCCTAATAACAAAAGTAAAAACAAAAAAGTTTCCCAGTAGCAGAACTTTCGTCTCTTGGTCTCTATTATAACCCAAATGCCAAAAACAGAGTCTGGCACATGCGAAGCAGGCATCAGTATTTCCTGAGTGAATCTGCAGTTGCCTTGACTATTGCTTACTCATGACCCTTTGCTTATTTTCCTACTGAGGTTTATCTTTTCCTTACAGAACTGTAGTGGTCCTTGTATCTTCTGGTGTTTCCCACATGCTCACCCTAAGCTGAGCACCTAATACATGATCCTGGAGTTGTGTCCAGTGGGTGACTGTCCCTTTGCCTCTTAGGTGCCACAGAGGCCCGCCTGCCCTTGCTGTCCCAGCCTCAGCCTTCTGTGCTGAGTGGGCAAGGCAACCCGCAGATCTTGTGTGTGGTGCAGGACGTTCCCATTGCGGCCCACGTCTTGTCCTGGTACCAGCAGCTGCAGGGCCATGGTCCCACCTTCCTACTGAGTCAGCGACAAGGGGCTCCCCCGACCTATGGCTTGGGTGTGAATCCCCGCTTCCTGGCAGAAATGGATCTGGCCCAGAATACTGCACGCCTCACCGTGGGCAATGCCAGCCCTGCTGACGAGGGCATCTACTACTGTGCCATGTGGTTCTCAGGCCTGTATCTCTTTGGAGAGGGGACGCGTCTGTTCTATCAGGGTGAGTCCCAGAGCCCTGGATCCCCTAGTGTGTAGGGCTACAGTAGGGTAGCGGGGGCCTTGGGAAGAATGCCACAGAACCGTCTGGGGGGACCCTTGGCTGCAGGGGTGGAGGGAAGGTGAGAAGGACTGCGGAGAGTGGACTGCTGCTGAGGGAGATGGACACACACCGCAACCCCCGACCTCTGGGTGGGGGGGAAAGGCGACTGGAGAGCAGTAGTCATCCCTCCCCTGCCCTGCAGCAGGGTTGCTGGAGGCCCAGGAGGGAAGGTGCATGTGGCAGAGACCAGCTCTGAGCTCATATTCTGCTGCACAGGGTGGAGGCTGGCTGTGGGGACCAAGCAGATCCCAGGAAAGGAAGGCAGTTGCCGGGAGCTGGGAGGAAGGCTGGGGAAAGCAGAAAGGAAGGAGGGACTCTCCAGGCCCCAGGAAGGAAGGGCGTGCAGGGCCGTGGTCTGAAGGAGGCTGGTGGCGTTAGGGGACACCCTCTGTCACTCCCCACAGCGGAGGTGCAGGCTCCTGCTCTCCCACCACCAGTGCTGAGCCTGTTCATCCCAGCCTCCGGTCCTCCCTCTGTCGCACTGTGTGTGGCCTTAGGACAGCACCCAGCCCCTCTGAGGATCTCCTGGGTACTGAGAGGCCAACACCGGGAGGAGGACGAGTTCACAGGGAGGCCTGGGGGACCCCTGGTCAGCTGGCTGCAGCTGCCTCGGGAGGCTGCAGGGACGACCGTGAGCTGCCAAGGCCTGCACCAGAGCGGGGCCATCGAGGCCGCACTGTACTTGCCTGGCGGCCCAGGTGAGTAGGGGGCCAGGGGCTGTGCGCATCTGCCTCCCCCAGCCTCTCAGGCCCCGTACACCCTAAACCTGCTGTATTCCATCTTCCTTTGTGAATCTCCATCTTAGGAACATCACAGAGACCCCAAATACCAGACGGACCAGACAGGCCCTACTGTGTGTGACAAAGCACGTCCTGCTTGGCCCTGCCTAAAGGACCTGGCCTTTGAGGCCTCTTCAATGAAGTTGCCTATGAGGACAGTTGCCACTAGCTGCTATCCCTCCAGAACTCTGTTCTCTGGTGGTGAATGCCTATTTCAAGTTATTTGAAGGCTGTGTGTTCTGTTGCAGGGTGCAAAGAGCTGGACCCGAACTGGAATGAGACTCATGAGAGCAGTGGAGACATCCCTCTTGGTATGGACCCCTAGAGGCTGACCTGTGGTGAAGTCATGCTTTTTGACTTCCACCTACCATGTCAAATACGTTCACTCAGTTGGCAGAGGACTGAGTGTTTCCCAGGGCAAACATCCTGTGAGGGAGTCTGGAAGCCCCAGTCAGACGCTGAGCCAAGGTTACAGTGCAGAAAAGATGTGCTGAGAGTCCTGTTAGGACCACAGCATCTGGGCAGGGACGGGGAAGGGGAGAAGCCTCCTGCCAGAGGGAGCTGGAGCCGAGCCCTGAAGTGAGACAGCTAGGGAAGAGCACCTGGGCTCCTCCAGATTCTTGCCCAATCTGCCTGGCCCCCTGGGTGAGTCCTTCACCTTCTCTGGGCCTCAGATGCACCCACTGCCCCACACACGCAGTACTGAGGCTTCCGAGTGGCCAAAAAGTGACCACTTTACTTGGCAGAATGGAAGCCTTGCTGTTGCATCTGTGAAAAGGGAAATGCAGGCATCCCTACGTATCTGCAGGGGTGGGATATTCTAGAACAAAACCCCGGCAGATACCAACATCCACAGACATGTAAGTCCCTTATAGAAAAGGGGTGGCATTCGTATATAATCTATACTTCTGTATACGTGAAACCACCTCCAGATTACTTATACTAAATACAATGTAAATATTATGCAAATAGTTGCTATACTGAATTGTTTAGAGAATAATGACAGAAAAAAAATAGTAGAGGTGTTCAGTACAGTCACAACCCCCTGTGCCACCCCAGAGGATTTTCACTCCTTAGACGCAGAACCCAAGAACACAGGGGGCAGGAATATAAACACTTCCAAGGATGAAAGGAGCCAGAGAGAAAGCTCTCTGGAAGGCACCAGGGCAGGGACAGTGAGGACGCACTTCAGAGGCTTGGCAGCCCCTCCCTCTGTCTCCACAGCAGAGCTGGAGCACACGCTGGCTGCCGTCACCTACTGCTACCTGGGGCTGCTAGGTGCCACTCCCCTTTATGGCCTGATCCTGGTGGCTCTCTGGAGGAATCGCTGCTGCCTGGGCCACCTGCAGGTGTCTCCCACCCAGGAGGCTCAAGCAGACGCTGGGGATTCCAGGCCTCAGGAAGGCAGGGGGCACAGTCCTGCCAGGGCCCTGGAGGATGAAGCACCAAGCCCCAGCGACCTGCAAGACCTCACGGAGGCTGCCTGCGTTCCAGCCTCCACCAGCATTCAGCCAGCTTCCTCCTAGTCCCCGCCCCTCCTTACTCCTCTGCTCCCTCTTTCCTCCTCCCGGTTGCCCAAGTTTCTCCACAAATAGAGTCTCTGAGCAAACATGGCTGTGCTGTGCTGTGTTGGGCAAGGGAGGTGGGATCCAGACCAGGGCAGTAGTACTTGGGGAGGGCAGTCCAAGGAGTCTCAGGACCCAGACCCCATGGCCCCTGGACCCTGATAGGTGGCTGGGGTCTCCCTTTGGTCATTCAAGTGCAAAGGTGTCCAGCTGGTCAGAGGTGAAGTGTTTGGACACTGGCAGCTGGAAGAGGCCCCACCCCCTCATCAAGTGAGAGTCACATGGCCTAAGTTCCCACCAGGCTTTTGGCTAAAGCCCTTTTAAATTGTAACTCCCTTTGAGGACAAATGCCAAATGCCTCCTGGAGCTCCAAGCCTGGATTCAGCCACTTCCTAAGTTCCACTGAAGCAGGAAAGCCTCTCGAAGCCACTCAGGGCCTCTGTGACCAGACTCCACACATCAGCTGATGGCTGCCCAAGGCCCTAGACAAGAGTGTTTGTAGCTAGGACTCAGAAGTTCCCAAAATCTCATTCTCTGCTCTTCAATGCTTCACCTTCCCCTGGCCTCAACTTCATGCCCTGACCCACCAACTCCTAAGTGACAGCTGCCTATATGGGTGGGAGGAGTTCTGAGGAGCCCAGGTCCCAGGTCAACACTTCTTCTCTCCCTGCATAGCCCACCAATTGAATCTTGAATCACCATATGGACATAACTACTTCAAAACTTCCTGCCACCAGGCGCATTCCTTAAGCTAGTAACTTTTTTTTTTTTTTTTTAATGCTGGGGATTGAACACAGGGCTTTGTGCATGTGAGGCAAGCACTCTACCAACTGAGCTAAATCCCCAGCAATTTTTTTCCTTTTTGATGTTACTAGGGATTGAACCCAAGTGTGCTAACCACTGAGTGACATCCTCAGCCCTTTTTGAGACAGGATTTTGCTAAATTGCTGAGGCTGGCTTTGAACTGGAGATCCTCCAGAGTCCCTGGGATTACAAGTGTGTGCCATTAAGCCCCCTCCACCGCCCTGCCCCCCAGCAAAGTAACAGGATTTATCAGAGTAATAGAGAGAAAGCAATGCTTCTAAAGGGGAAGGTGGGCCCAAGAGAGGGATCCCTAAGCTTTTAACTTTTAACACCCAGATGCAAATCAGCTTTGCTGAGAGTGGAATAGAAGGAAATGCTCAGGAAGGGCATCCAGGGAAGGCCAAGGACACAGGGCGGGGCTTTGGGTAGGGACAGGACTGAGCAGAAGGGGCAGTCAGTGGCAGAGCTGAGCGCAGGCACCACTTGCAGGACCAGCCATCTATGTGAAGCACCTCAAGGAGAGGTTCCAGGGCTGTGCCCCAGGACAAGGCCTTAATCACATCATGGGAATGGGTAATTTTGCACTCATCATCCTGAAAACTCCAGATGTGACTCCTCAGCCCTGTCCTGGCATAGAGAGAACAGGAACAGAGGTCCCTTCTCTTCGAACATCTTGCAGTCCTACTCTGGTGGGCCCTCAGCTGTGACCTGAGGACCTCACTGGCAATTCAGTCATTGCCGACACCTCTGAACACTTGGAGATTTCTCCCAGTCACCACAGAGAAGATTTAACAAGTACAAACCTGCAAACTCTTTATTAAATTCTCCCGTTTCATCTGTACAGAAAAAAATGCACACTATGTTCAGAATCTCAGTAACATCTCAAAATTACACAGCATGAACATGTAAAAACAAGGAACTGCCGGGATTCTATACATAGAAAGGAAACCCATTTACAAAAGAGGCTTGTTAATTGTACTTTTCTTTCGAGAGAAAAAAAAAAAAAAAAGGTCAAGAGGCCTAAGATTTCACACAGGACTGCCGTGCAGCCTGTCCTGCCAGGACTGAGCTGGGGGCTTTGAGCTGGAGGCAGCCACTTGGGAAGCTTGCTGCCCAGTGCACTAGTGTGATCTGGGCACCTGTTCCAACCACCTGTTGCCCGGCAGAGGGAGGTCCAGATGTCAGCTCTATGCTGCGGGGAAGGCAAACACAACACAGGCACTGTCCACACCACTTCCTTGTTGGGAAGATCTCTCCACTGTGCAGGGCCTAGTGTCCCCTGGGTTGCAGGGGAGAAGAGGGAAGAGGAGACCCCCATCAGGACCTCATTACCACCTATCTGCTGACTGATCCATCTTTGTGCTCCAGGTAACAAAACAGTCCCTAGGTCCCCACATCAGACTCACTGGATGGCTTGGGAAGAATGTGAGCCTGAAGTGCAGTCTGGGTTTAAGATTCACATGTTGTATGAGGTCTGGGTAGGAAGGGGGACTCATCTTCAAACTTGACTGCCCTTACAGGTAGCCTGGTCCTCTCTGGTGGAGGGACAAAGGGGGAGTGTAGTTATGGATGGCAAATCAAACACAAATGGAGAGGGGGAAGGCCAGGCAAAAGATCCTGTCCAAGTCCCGTTGGGAATCAAAGCCAAGAGATGGAGAGGTGACAGGAGAGAAGTAATGTGAATCCCCAACAGAACTAAGGACACTAGGGCGCTGTACATTGTAAAATTACTTCGGTGTGCTCAAATAGTGAGCAATCGAAGGGCATGGAGTTGAGTTTTGTAAAACTCCTAAGAAGCTAAAGTATAAGTTAACATTTCAAAATACACAAAATTAAAAAGCCACATTCTTCTTTTGATTCTATGATCACAATTTGGAGTATTGGTGCCAGGCTGGAATGGATGACTTCTGAGGGCTTCAATCCAGCTAGCTTTTCTCATCCTCTTACTGAGATACTGAGATCCATCACATGTGGAGAAGGCTTGTTTTGTGATGGGGCAGGGGAAGGTCTTATCTCGGAGGGACTTAAGACCAGCTAGCAAAGGAGACCCAGGAAGTGCCCCCATGACTCATACTAGGGAGATCGTTTGGACAGAAGTGGTATTATTATCCTGAAGGTGGAGAGGATGGGGATAGTTCCAGAAGTCACAATGACGTACAAGAGTGAATATTCTCTTGTGAAGGTTGAGGGACATTAGCCACATAATTTCCTTACCAATCTAATAAAATATAAATGTCAGCATCCTTGCCGTTGGATTCTTCTATCAGTTGACCCCAGGAAGCAGGAAGACATGGAATTTTAATCTCTTTCTGCCACATCTCCTAGGAAAGCAGTCTCTTCCCCATGTCCTCCAGCCTGCTGGGCCACACAGGAGAGATGAGACCACCAGGGTGCTGCAGCGAGTTCCCAGCAGCACCAGCTCATAAACACTAGCTCCTCCACAGCCCTCGAGTCCCCTAGCTTCTAAGGACACACTAGCACTGGCTCAGACAAATCAACTGGATCCACAGAACTGGGGCTAGAGCAGGGAACCAGAGGGTCTCCTGGGAGTGTAGGGAATGAGGGCTTTCCCTAGAGGGCATCCAAGCCTTTGGTATGGCTCCCCTGTCAGTGCTCCCTGCCAGCAGACCAGCCTTGGGACAGCAGCAACAGCAGAAAAGTCCAGGGACACACCAAGATAAAGAAGTATCCCAGGCATGGAACTCTCCTTCTGTGGGAGAAAGTCTTAGAAGGTGCAGATCTTGTTTGGCATTCTGTCCAGATCTCTGACCTTCCGACCACAGTGCCTCTAGCCCAGGAACCTGGGTCCTGGAGACTCAAGAGGACTGGAACACTGTGTCCAAGAGTGAGATGCTGGTGAGACCTGGCTGCTGTAATTTGTCAAGCTCCTGAAGCCTTGTCCCAAACATTCTGCTTTTTACATGCTTGTTTGTGGGCTCTATATCAGAAGAGAGAAAGGCCAGAGTTCATTGCCGGCTCCTGTAGTCGGGCCTGGGTTCCTCTTCTTGACTAGCTTCAACTACCTGATTCATACCCATGATGCACCCCGGGGTGTCTTACAACTTGCTGTTAGGCCAAATGAAGTGCAGAGTGGGTGAGTAGGCTGCCAATGCAGATGGCATTGGGTTCCCTGGGCTTAGAAAAACTTGCTCAAGACTAGGTATGGGACTCTCAAGAGCCAGGCACAGAAAACCACTCCAAGGAGGATGGTGAAGACTCCCTTGAAACAAGCAGCCGAAGACACCAGCAGAGTTACTCTTTCTCTCTCTCTTTTTTAACACTACTGGGGATTGAACTCAGGGACTCAAACAGGCTAGGTAAGTGCTCCATCACTGAGCTACACTGCAGCCCTTTCCATTTTCGAGATGGGGTCTTGATAAGCTGCTCCAGCTAGCCCCCTGAACTTGTGATCCTCCCACCTCAGCCTTCTAGTAGATGGGATTATGGGTATTTACCACCATGCCTGGCCTTATTCTGAACAGTTCTAAAAATAACAAACATTTAAAGAACCAAACTCATCAGACCTCCAAATCTGCTGCAGACAATTAATGGGATTTTCTGTCAGTTCACAAAGAATATTGAGATGCACTAGAACCACAAGGATGTTTTCCATATATTGGGAAGGAAGCTGCAGGTATGGGAATGATACTCCCCACCCCAGTCTAATGGTGAATACTAATCCCTGTCCTGCAAACCACGCTGACGTGCACTGGAGACCTGCGTTCCCATGGGATGGTCCCAGTTCTGGATATCAAGCCCCAGTTCCTAGAGAGGGAGGGACCCTCTGACCAACTCAGCTTTGTTGGCAGCATGTAGGGGTGGCAGCTGCTTACATTGTAGGTGTCGCAAGAATCACGAGACTGAAGACTCCCAGGAGAGCTGCTGAGAATCAGAAGACCCTAAGAGGCGGACTGAGGGACTGGACAAAGCAGCTCAGCAGCCTCCCTGAAGATTTGTATTACTCTAAGCAGGGAACTTACAGCAACTTCTGGAACCCATTCCCTCCAGGAAAGACAGCAAACAGGGGAAAAAAAAAAAAGGATAAAAACCACAGTATTCCAATGTTATGTCAGTCAGTTAGACAAGGAGTAATCTGGATCGACTGATCCACAACTGACACGGCTTGCACTGAACACACTCCAGGGAAGACAATGTCACTCAGGTACCGCGGCACTCAACAGTGTGAAGGAGAGGCAGGAAGAGGAAGGGCAATGCCAGGGGGCCTCGGTCTATGTGGACAGTTTTAGGCACGTGATTTATAATACTTTGTGGACGTCTAACAGGTTAATAAAATATATATTATATAAATATATCTCCTACTGTACATGCTGCCCTCCTACACAGCCACAGTGACGCCAGGCCCCAAGCTCAATCAAAGGAGAGCCTGGCCGAACCTCGACGCCTGGGCTCCTCCTCCTCTGCCCCACACCTGCATCTCCACGCTGGAGCAACAAGGGAGAACAGCCAGCAGTGTTGTTCCCATAAAGCTTCAGAAAGCTGATGAATCACCAAAAGACCACATTTAGCCAGTGCCTACTATAGCGGGAACACACAGCAAATGGACAGAAAAAAGAACGGAGAAAATCTCCATCTTTTAATGTAATCACTTTCCACACCCCTTCACGCAGAGGCACGGAGGAGCTTGTCTGGGAAATTCACCTGGAGCGTGCAGAAAGGTCAGGCTGGATGGTCAGTCACATCCTGAGGCCTTGCTAAATCTTTATAGGTCATTGTCTCTGACCTGTATTGCAGCCTGAAAAATAAAGCCAAGTGAGTCAGATCTCTGTTCTTCCTTCCTGCTCTGCTGCCTACCCCAGTATACCCCTCTCCTCAGTCACTGTCTCCTGGAGAAGAAGAGAACTTCTGAAGTGACCGTACCCTCGGCAGGGCCAACATAGACGTGATAGTCCACACCATCCTGGAGAAGAAAGATGATGGGGTCCTGCTGTGTAGACTCAGAATCCAGCCTCCCAGTGCAGATCAGTGGACTGTCCTGCTTCACGGACCTCTGACCCAGAAGAGCCAGGCTGCCCTCCCCAAGGCTCATGGCTGACTGCACCGGGTGAGGAGATCACAGAAACACCCTAGCTGTGGGACTTGACTAGTTGCAGTTCATTTTGGGCGGGAGCTGGAAGGTATCACTGCTTCAACAGAAACCACAGGCCCCACAGAGGCTGGTTAGTGGTTTTCCAGTCCCTGGTGAAGTCTTTGCCCTGATCCAGCCCAAAGGTGCTTCTGGGAGATGAGCCAGACTCTCAGGGATGGCGTGCTGGGGTATGCATCCCCTCCTAGTCCTGCCTTTGTCTGACACAGTTACAGGGAAGAAATAACCCTGTGGCCCAAGTCAAAACTGGAGGAGGACATGTGTTACTATGTACATTTTTTTCTTTCTTTAAAAATTTCTCCCCCCCCCCCTTTTTTTGGTGGTTTTTTAAAAAAAAGTGTTTTGAGTTGCAGGTCAGGTGAGTCGGTTCTGGAAGTGTCGGTAGTCCTGTTGGTACAGAGATATGTCTACAGGCAGGCAAACCCAAGTATGCCAACAATGGCAACCACCAAAGCGGCCAGTTGCTGATGCTGCAGACAGCGGCGGAGGAGAATACCGTGGACGTAGCCAGGTCTGGACGGGACAATGCAGTGGGCACCTGCTGCTGCTCTATCGTGGGTGATGGTGCCACCTCTTAGAAGGGCGAGGTGAGGGTACACTATACAGGAGGCTGTACAGACTGGGCACTGGGCAGGTAGTTCCTTTGGTGGTCAAGGAGGCTCTACCTGTCCTTGAGCTCTCGTGTCACTCGCTTGGTGATCCGTCCACACATCAGGCCAATCAGGAACAATATACAGATGCTCCCACTGATTACAGAGAGGATGTAGTTCTTCGATGGGGAGGTCATCACTTGCATGGCGAGATCAGAGAAGCCGTCTGCTGGGGCCACCTGGAAGGAGATAAGAACGTGACCCTAGAGGCAGAGCTGGATGGCTATGGTGCTAAGTCTAACTTGCTCCCACAATTCCTAGTTTAATTTATGTCTTTTCTTTTAGGGAAGGAGAGAAAAATCAACACATAGATAGAACTTTTTTCCCTTATCATAGAACTACATATGTCCACTGCACAAAATTCAGACACATAAAGTTACAAAGAGAGGAGATCACTCTCAATTTCTCCATAGTGACCTCCACTGCTGGTACATTAACAGCCAGCCTCTTGCACTGTGGACTCGTCCATGTCAGTCTGGGCAAGAGCTCTGTGTATTTTACCAGCAAATCTCATAGCTCCTATATTACAAATGAAAACCCAGCGGCTCAGGGTTAGATGTGACTTGCACAAAGCTATGGATTCTTATATATTTTGATTTCTACTCTTCATTATGTTGCTCCCTTTTTGAAAACAAAGACAAAACTTGAGATTTTGTTATATGCTATTTCTCTATATTGACTTTACTCACCATTAGAAAACAAGCATCGCCCACATCAAAAACAAGATACAACAACACGATGACATCATGTATTCACCAAGCACCAGTCATGTGCACCCTTTTTTAGTACTAAGGATTGAACCCAGGGGCACTCTACCACTGAGCTACAGCCCCAGCCCTTTTGAGACAGGGTCTCATTAAGTTGCCAAGGCTGGCCTCAGACTTGCGATCCTCCTGCCTCAGCCTCCAGAGTCAAGGGATTACAGGTGTGCACCTGGCTTCACTACTATTCACCCTCCATTTCCACTGTTTTCACCAATGCACTCTATGATAGCCTGCTACAACACAATCAGGACCAGAAGGTTCTCCGTGTGTACATGTAGATGTTCTCTGAGTCTCAACCTGGCGCTCTGTGCTGCTCCTATGTTCACCTCGTGTACACAGAACAGAGCAGGGAGGCATGGGATTTATGAGATGTGAGCACCCACATTTGCTAAACATGCAGTGAGTCACTCTGAGGCAATGTGAAGTAGCTCAAAGGAGCAGAAGCTAGTGAGGGAAGAATGGACGGAATGTGGGTGCTCTAACTGAGGGCTTCACAATGACTTTTTTCCCTTGGGAGGAATGAAAGGAAGATAGACTGCTGTGACAAACATGATCCCACCTGGGCATTTCCCTTCTGACTAGGTATGCAGGCTTTCTTTGCGGGTTCACTCCTGCCATGTTACCCTTGACCTTTTTTTTGAGACCAGGGTCCTACTACATAGCCCAGGCTGGCTTCAAATTCCTGGGCTCAAGGGATCCTGCTGCCTCAGGCTTCTGAGCATCTGGACTACAGGGGTGTACCACTGCATCCAGCTTATTCAACCTTGACCTTTAAGCAGATGGGTGACCAAGGGACACTGGTCAAGAAGGAGAGGAGATCCTGTGGTCACTGTCTCAACCTAAGGTCACTAGGAAAGTTTACTCCAGTGTGGGTCAATATAAAAGCATGGATTGAGAAACCTGAGGCAGTTTGGACAAGTCATAATCTCTGAAGTCAGTATCCTCCACCATAAAGTGATAAAATAATCATTCTACTTACCTCGTTGGAATCTGACGTTCATATGAAGTAACAGCCATCAAAACATTTTGTAAATTATAAAGCAACATATATGTGAGAAACACTTTTACTCTTCTTACTGAGCTGTACTTCTGGAGGGAGCTCTTCTCTTCCAGATCCCCCTACTGGGGTACCCTATTCATCCCAAAGCCTCTCTTCATCTAATCCTTCTGTGTTCCAGGCCAGCTGAGCCCTGGTCTCACATAATACTTTCTTCCAAAGGAATAAGATGGCTTTGGGTTCATGAGCAGTCAAGAAGTTTTAAAGGCTCACTCAAATATACCTACTGCTAGTCTTCCAGCAAGGACAAGACCACCAGGGAAATACCTCAGAGTGTCTGGAAATGGACAGAAGAGATGGTCACTCTGGAACTCCACTAGGTCTTTACCTTTGCAGCATAACTCCACATTTCAATCCGGTCATTGAGGCGCTTTTTGCACTCAGGCTGTAATCTCACCCGCTTATCCTCTAGGGCCTCCATTAGGCAGGACATTTCTGTGAGAGAAAACAGGTAAGAAAAGTCTGCAATTACACAGAACAGAAACATTTCTATAAAGCCAGGGGATGGATATCCAACCATCAGAGAATTTAGATCTTCAGGTTTAATAAAGTCAAATCCATTCTAGGAAACTTGACCCAAGATCCAGCATGGCGAGGATGGGATGTAACTTGCAGGGTGGCTGTCCAGAATCTCTCTTAAGATCACTCCAATTTTTACTGGGTATTCCTGGTTTAGAAACAAACATACACCTGCCCAGGTTCCAGCCTTACACAGAACCTGCCTACTGTGCCCACAGTGGCCCTTGGGGAAGCCTTGTTTGGGTAAGAGAAGGGGAAGAGGACCATGATGATGGCTTAACTTTTGCTTCTGTGATAAATTACTCAACACCCCTTTCACCAAATCTTTAGCTCTGCCCATGGTTAGGTCAGCTCAAATCTTCAGGATTATTCCTAAATTCATTATGCCACAAAGGCATCAACCTTGTTCCTGAGGGATATTGTCTATGGTTAGGCTGCAGCCACAGAACAGAGTAGGAGCAACTGACGGCTGAGATTGAGCCTTTGCTTCTCCCAAGTGAGTTCAGAAAGGGCCAAAGTGAATTCAGTGACTTACGACGCCCACGGCCAGGGGTGATGGCTGCACAGTGGTGTTTAATGTCCAGGGCACATGCTGTGTGAAGAACTGGGTCCACAAAGATGTCTGCCTTGCTTTCCTTCAGCATGTTTAACACTTCCTGGAAAGGGAAGGGCATTACGGAGAGAACTTTTATAAAGAAAATGCATTAGACTTGTTGTCTATAAACATGGGATAGGTGGCAATGTGGCAATGATGTGCAGAATGCAAATTCATGGCATCCAATATAATTCACTAACCACCTCTGAGAGATTCAATATATGCTATGGAAAGCTGGGAACTACACATGCTTGGAAAATTAGATATGGGTTCTTGGCATTCTGGTATACTACAGTATCATCATTACCATTATCATTGTTGTCATCATCGATATCATCATTATCCTCAGCATTTTTGTAGTACTGGGGATTGAACCTGGGGCCTAGTGCATGCTAGGCAAGTCACCTATCACTGAATTACATCCCTAGACTTTTTTATTTTTCATTTTGAGACAGGGTCTCAGTTGCCCAGGCTGGCCTTGAACTTATAATCTTTCTACTTTAGCTACAGAGTAGCTAGGATTATAGGTATGTGCCACCGTGCCTGTCTATATACATATTTTTTTAAACTTTATTTTACTTATTTATTTATATGTGGTGCTGAGGATTGAACCCAGGACCTCACACGTGCTAGGCGAGCACTCTACCACTGAGCCACAACCCCAGCTCCTGGCTATATAATTTTAAAGTACCTAAATGGTAGTGTTTTTATTGGTGTTATATAATTATTCTGTTAACTTTGGGAAATCAGGAAAAAAACCATGAAATGTAAAAATAAGAGTAATAGGCTATATAAAAATTCCCAAATATGGGTCAATTTGTTTACAAAATATTCCACTTTTACCTCTATCATCCCCAAAAGGAAAAAAGAATGGACAGAATATTACTTTTACTGCAAGAGGAATTATTTGAATTCATTACTATCCTGAGCAACAGCAATGTAAACACTTTATTAGAACTAATATCAACTCTACAGATGCTCCATTTATGCATGATGAAATTATAGACAGGAGGAAAGATGGGCCAGAAATGCCTTCCTTTGTGGTGCTGGGGATTGAACTCAGGGCCATGCACATGCTAAGCAAATGCTCTACCACTGAGCTACATCCCAACTTTGGAAATGTTTTCTTTCTTTCTTTCTTTTTTTATATTTTTCAATTGTAATTGGACACAATACCTTTTTATTTTATTTATTTATTTTTATGTGTGCTGAGGGTCGAACCCAGGGCCTCGCACACATGCTAGGCGAGTGCTCTACCGCTGAGCCACAACCCCAGCCCCTAGAAATGTTTTCTTAATAAAATTTAGTTTGTTCTCAATGGGAAGAATGCAGTTCTATAAGACAATAACACAAAACTAAATAATCCTGCCCAAAGTTATACGAGATCATTTTTTTTTTGAATTTTGAATTTTTATTTTTTAGTTTTCGGCGGACACAACATCTTTGTTTGTATGTGGTGCTGAGGATCGAACCCAGGCCGCACGCATGCCAGGCGAGTGTGCTACCGCTTGAGCCACATCCCCAGCCCAAAAGTTAAGTTTTTAACCAGCTCCTACCATTTTTTAGAACACGTGGAATCAAACATTTTAGGCAGATGAAAAAATTTGTAAACAACATTCTTAATGACTCAAGAATGACATCAATAAAAGTTTCTTTTAAACAAGATTAATTTTTTTTTAAAGGTCAAACACATTAATTCCTTTGCCCTTTTCTGGGCAGTACCAGGGATTGGACCCAGGGTCTTGGGCTTGTTAGACAAATGCTTTATCCCTGAAAGCATCTGTAGCCCTTTTGTGAAACTGAGACATGCTCTTGTTAAATGGTCTAGTCTGCTAACTTGCATTTTCCGTGTTGCAAGATAATGTATGCTTAGAAGGCATAATTTGATGGTTAGTATTTTTTGGTATAGGGAATTGAACCCAATGCTTGCACAGGCTAGGCTAATGCTCTACCACTGAGCTACATTCCCTACCCTTTCTTTTTCTTTTCTTTTTTTTAAGAGAGAGAATTTTTTTAATATTTATTTTTAGTTTTCGGCAGACACAACATCTTTGTTTGTATGTGGTGCTGAGGATCGAACCTGGGCCACACGCATGCCAAGCAAGCGCGCTACTGCTTGAGCCACATCCCCAGCCCCTCCCTACCCTTTCTATTGTATTTATTAAAAAAAAAATTTTTTTAGATATTAATGGACCTGTATTTTATTCAGTTATTTATATGCAACACTAATAACTGAACCCAGTGCCTCACACATGCTAGGCAAGTGTTCTACCACTAAGCCACAATTCCAGCCTTTCTAGTATATTTTGAGAAAGGGTCTTGATAAGTTGTTCAAGCTGGCCTTGCACTTGCCATCCACCTGCATTGCTGGGATTACCGAAGTGTACCACTGCACCCTGCTAATAAGGTGACATTTCTTAAATGAACTAGATACTTTGTTTCATTGATTGTCATGAGTGTGAAATGATAAAATGGTACTAACATTTTGTTTTGTTCAGGGTGCCTTTAAATAATAGTCTAGTGGGCTGGAGTTGTGGCTCAGTGGTGAAACACTTACCTAGCATGTGTGACACACTGGGTTCGATTCTCAGCATTGCATATAAACAAATAAATAAAATAAAGGTCCATCAAAATCTAAAAAAATACATTAAAAAAAACCAATGGTCTAGCTGCAAGATGAGGCATATTTACAAATAATTAGTGTATGTGAAAGAATATTAAAGTTAAAGGAGATAATGGTCAAGGACCAGGTTTAAAGTTTTACGAAACGCATAGAATGCAGTGAAGGAAGGCTTAGAGTTCCGATTTTGTTACTAAGGAGTACAGACCATAACATTAAAAGAAGAGAAAAAGGGGAGCAAAGCCAGGCTCAGTAGAGTGTCTGTAGTCTCAGCTACTGGGGAGGCTGAGGCAGGAGGACTGCTTGAGCCCAGGAGTTTGAGGTCAGCCTGGGAAACACAGCAAGATTCTGATTCAAAGAAGGGTGGAGGGGAAGCAAAGGCAGAGAAAAAAAGGTGATGATGGTTACCTTTTTACACATTTCTGTTTTGATCTTGAGCAGGTTGACCTTGAGACACTCTTCCACTTGACCTGTTTGCTCCTGGGCTGCTGCTTCTTCAGCACAAAGATTGGCAATCTGTTCAGGAGACAAAAGAAAAACAAGGCCATTCTCCTAAGCACAAAAAAGAGCAAAAGGTTTCCTGAACAGATGAGCCTGCTGAGTCCAACAGTCCCTGGACACTACTGGTGACTTCTCTCACTGCACTGACCAGATGCTGAGTGACAGGTGAGGGATGTTCTGCTATTACCAGAAACCTGGGCCTCTCAACATGTAGACATGGTGATCCTCCATGTGCACCCAGAGCTCATCTCTAACAGCTTGCTGGTGGAGCACACATCCTCTCCCTGTAGAGGCCAGGCTCCTAGGTTCTGTTTTCCTTCACAATGATAGGCACACGGAACTGAGTTAGTAAATGTACATATCTCTATGCTGTGGAGTCACACTGTCCTAGGACTTCAACAAAGAAGGCTAGTCCATAATTTCACATGAGGACGGTTATAAAGCCCAATAAAATACTGAAAGCAAATACTTAATTCAGAGTTAACCCAGACTCACAACTTGGAAGCACACACAAAGGGGTTCTTAAACCAAGCCCACAGTGAAGATAACAAACTTAACTTTCTTTGGACAGTTTATGAGTAAGGTTCTTTGAAACATCTTTAGCTGTGATTTTTCTCAAATTGATGTATATTAAACAGGATTCTTCACATGGCTTTTTCTAACTAGGAGTAGAATAATTTCTACAGATAAGCACTTAGAGCTATCACGAGAACACTTTTATTTTTATGGCAAATCTTGGGGTGTTCTGATTTAACTATACAGAATAAAGAGAAGGGAAGAACAAATTATATGTAGAAAGTGATAATAAAAGAATACCCTGTTCAACAGAGAAGTATGAAGCCAACAGGACAGTCTGATGGACTAATGGCAAGCGCAGTTCAGAGGGACAGAGAACCTGGAATTCATTAAGAGCTATAAAAGAATGGGCCGGCAGCTAACTATGAGTTTAAGGCTGAAGAGAAAGAAAGTAAAGAACTTTTCTCCAGCAAATCTTCTCTGACCAGCTCTGTGCAGACCCAGACCCAGAGCCAGTTTTACACCCGATCCTACCTCATCTGAGCAGTGCAGCTGCAGCTGAGGGTCGAGGCGGTAATCGAGTGCAGACTCCTGGATGATCATGCGGATCTGGTCTTCACAGTCTGAAGACAGGCGCTACATGTGACAAAGAGGGAATACAGCAGCCCACCAGAGATTGTCAGTTTTTATTTAGTCCCTTATTATCTGGCTTGGGGAAGGCCATAAAAAAGGTCTTGGGAAAACAGGGGTGCACTAAAGACTTTCATAGAGAACACTCCCAGGGACAGAGGCAGCTCCATAAACACAGCTCTGTGGAGAGCCCTTCTGTTTACCTGGTCAGCATATCGCAGCTTGAGGCAAGAGATGACTTGCCCTTCTAGCTCTGAATCATCCTTGGCCTTGGTCAGGATACCATGGCAGAACTTAGGAATGTCAGCTTTACAGGCTTTCCTTAGCACAGGATTTAAGCGATAATCTAGAGTAAGAAGCAGTAAATACTTGATAAAATATTCCACCTAGAAAAGTTCATCAATTTTTAGAAATCCACCTTTCTGAAAAGGGGCAATGACCATGACTGCATGTCAATGACCATAACTAAAACACAATCTGTTCATTTAGTAAATATGTACTGAGCTCTCACTCCACTGTTAATCAGTGATATAATTTGGTTCAAGAGCACTTCTGCAGGGTTTTGTGATCCAATATTAAAAAACAACAGATAGCAGCAGCCTTGCCTATACTAGATATTTTTGAAAACACCAAGAAAGAAATATCCAACACACTGCATATTAAGCTACAAGGTCTTGCAGCCAAAAGCTGAAGTTTCAGTTCTAAAAGAGATTGCCCATATCTTTTGACATGCTCATGAAGTTTTATTATCTCTAAACTATCTTTTCCAAGGAACTCTAGCCCTTGTTCCTCTGTATGTTCTTCAAGGGCAGTTTCTCCTGTCATGCCATCCTTACTGGATACCCCTCAAAGGAGGAGAAAGTCACTCTGCTTACATCTAAACTCTTCTCTTAAAATCCAAGGGTGGTAAAGTATCTGCAGTTTAATTAGCTAACTATATAGTTTAATCAGCAGACTGGATGGTGGCTTTCTCAGTTACCCTCAAGCTATACTAAATGAGACCAAGAGAGTTAAGCAGGATGGTACCTGTGTTCTGGGTGATCTGGCGCTTGGTTATCATCTGTTTGCATTTGGGATCCATCAATTCACTGTTTTTATTTTGCTTCAAACACTGTAACATGGTTTTAGAATCTGCTTCTGGACAGAACCTCTGCAATGAAACAAGGTTTTATGAAAACAGCTATCCTTATCCGCCAATTAATCCATCTATGATCATTGTTACATCTTACTGTTGCATCTAAGAGAGCACTCATTAAAGAAGCAGTGCGAAGGAATCACTTGGCACAAGAGGAACAGCTAAGCCTGAGTAAGCACCAGGCCTCAAGTTCCCTTTTTATTTATTTATTTTTTTTTCAAGTTCCCTTTTTAAAAAAATATTTTTTTTTTGAAGTTTTTTAGTTGTAGGTGGATACAATACCTTTATTTTATTTATTTATATGTGATGTGGAGGATCGAACCCAGGGTCTCACACATGCTAGGCGAGCACTCTATGGCTGAGCCTCAACCTAGGCCCTCAAGTTCCTTTTTTTTTTTCACTTATTCTCAACTGTATTTGTCCCATTTCTATTATGTCTCTGATTCCTAATTTACATGGCATTGATTACATGGCTATGTTAAATTACATGCAATCCCATGAGCTTAATTAACTATTGCTTGAGTATGAATACAACACTGTACCAGGTAGTCATCGAGCGCTCAAATCCTATCTACCCAAATCCAATGGGAAAACCTAGGAATTAGGTTTTACCCATCAACCAATGTGAACAGGAATGTGGGGTAAAGACTCATCTGGTTCATCCTAACTATAGGGGTTATAATCCAGCCAAACACTGAGGGTCTGGCCACTGTACATTTATTACTGTCCGTCACTAGGGTTCAGTTTTATAATAGAAATGAACTCCATCTCTATTTGCTAAACAATGAGTCTTATTTTTAGTTGTTGATAAGACGTTTATTTTTAAAAAATATTTATTTTTTTAGTTGTAGTTGGACACATACTTTTATTTTATTTATTTTTATATGGTGCTGAGCATCGAACCCAGGGCCTTGCATGTGCTAAGCACATGCTCTACCACTGAACCATAACTCCAGCCCAATATGCCTTTATTTTATTTACTTATTTGTATATGGTGCTGAGAATTGAACCCAGTGCCTCACTCATGCTAGGCAAACGCTCTATTGCTGAGCTACAACTCCAGCCCCTGCAACGAGTCTTTAAGTGCCACAGTTCCTGATAAACTCTGGCTGGGACACTAGAATCAAGCCTCCCCTGCCAGTTCTGTTTGTAGGTCTCTGAAGCATGTGTGATTATAATCTACTGACATCCTAATATGGGAATGTGGACTGTGTATTGATTTTTATAAAATTTTAAAACTTTCTCTTAAGTCAGTGTCTGACATTTCCATCCATGTGACTCACCTGGACCAGGACCAGCTAGAGAAACTTACATTTTTTATTTATTTTTATTTTTTAGTGGTGCTGGGGATTGAACCCAGGGCCTTGTGCATGCAAGGCAAGCACTCTACCAATTGAGCTATATCCCCAGCCCAGAAACTTAAACTTTTTTTTTTTTTCAAATACTTTTTTCTAGTTATAGATGGACAAATACATTTATTTTGTTTATTTATATATATTTTTTTATGTGGTGCTGAGGATCAAACCCAGGGCCCTGCATGTGTTAGGCAAGTGCTCTACTGCTGAGCCACAACCTCAGCCCTGAAGCTTACATTTTTTTTAAACCTTTTTAAGTTGTTGATAGACCTTTATTTTATTTATTTATACATGGTGCTGAGAATTGAACCCAGTGCCTCACACATACCAGGTAAGTGTGCTACCGCTGAGCCACAGCCACAGCCACTGAAACTTACACTTTTAATGCTCAAAATTATCTTTGAAATTTATTTGGTAGGTGAAACTTGGCATTCTTTGAACTTTTATTTATTTTCCATATTTTTTTTTGTTGGTACATTAGAGTTGGCATTGAAAATACTGACATAGGAATTAGAATCTTAAGTTTAATTTTTTTTTATATGTGTGGACAGATAAAGAAACTTCTGAGAATATTTACTAAAAGAATAACTGAAGCAAAGAATTTGCAGAACAGAAAAACCCTTTGAATATGGGAGATGATCTTATAGGAACACACTGGATGTTAGCTAAGTACATCGACCCTTAATTACTAGTTATGTATTTATTGGGCATCTATTTACCTGTGCCTTGGACTAAAGTGAGGCTAATTATCTCAGTTCTGTGGTTTTCCATTTGAATATGCATCCACATCATCTGAGGGCTTGCGGAGATTGTATCTATTTTAGCCCAAGAGAGTTTGACCCAGCAGATCTGGGTGGAGCCCAGGAATCTGAAGTTGCCAGGTAGACTGATGCTACTGGCCTAGGGATCACATCTGGAGAAGCGCCATCTTGGCTGTGTTTAACAGGCTGCAATGGAGAGGGATTTATGCTATTATTTTCACTTATGCTACAACTGGCCTTTACCTTTATCATCTGCTTGCAGACTCGCATGAGTGTGTAGTCTAGTTCTGGGTCCATCATCTCTGTTTCCTGCAGTTTAAATACTTTCTGGTGGCAACGGGTACTCAGCTGCTTCTTGTTTTCTTTCAGACATTCAATGATCTATAACATAAGAGATATGGTCAAGTTGGGGAATGAATCAAAGATTGACAGTCCATGTTTTTTTTTTTTGGGGGGGGAGGGTCGGTACCAGGGATTGAACTCAGGGGTACTCAACCACTGAGCCACATCCCTAGCCCTATTTTGTATTTTATTTAGAGACAGGGTCTCATTGAATTGCTTTAGTGCCTCACTCTTGCTGAGGCTGGCTTTGAACTCACAATCCTCCTGCTTCAGCCTCCCGAGCTGCTAGGATTACAGGACAGTCTATATATTCTGACTGGTGCATTCAGTTCCTAGTGCATGCCCCATTTTCTATTCAAGTATTTCTAATTCCAAGGCAATATGAATCAAGAGTTATTCCCCAAGGAGAGTTATAGATTTACAACCTTAGGGCCAGTAGCAAACCAAATAGTATAAAAATTTAGGTTGAGAAGCAGGCTATACTAGAGGCTAAACTCACTCAGGTTTCCTGGACTTTCTGCCTTCTAGAGCTAGCTGTTTCTTATCAAGAGTCTCCTTGGAGCATACATTAGATTCTCTGCATGTGCCTGGAGCAACAACCCTGACTAGATAGTAGACATAAGCCAGGAAGTTTAAGTCAGCTCACCATGTATCACAAGAGAATGGATTGTTAGAGGCTAGATAACTTTAATTCTGACAAACATAGTCTCATAGGGCAAATCACAAGTAACTATGATGGGAAAAAATTGAGTGCTAAATAAAAGCATAAAGTGTTATGGGATAGATTTTAATGAATTAAGTATAAATTAAGTATATCTTGAAATCTTCCCTTCCTTACACCAAACCTTGAGATATTATTAAAAATGAAGAGAAAGAAAGCAGATAGGAGGCTACAATAACCAGGGCTGCAGCATGAAGTCACAAGGCTTCCACGAAATCTTCCAGGCACAACCAAAAAATCACCAACTAATACATTAAGAAAGATGATACACAAGGTGACAAAATTGGAAGTATAAAGAAAAGTTAGTCATTTAGGAGGCTGAGGCAGGAGGATTCCAAGTTTGAGGCTAGCTTCAGCAACTTAGTGAGACCCTCAGCAACTTAGCAACTCTCCCTCAAATTAGAAAATGAAAAGGACTGGGGATGTAGCTTAGTAGTAAAGTATCCCTGAGTTCAATACCCGGTACAACAAACAAACAAACAACCCTCCCCCCAAAAAGTTAAAAGACAGAGGCTGGAGGATTACAAATTCAAAGTCAGCCTCAGCAACATGGCCAGACCCTGGGCCAAAAATAAGATACAGAGGACAGACTGAGATAGTTATCGGAATCCTAGGAGGAAGGAAATGGAAAGCAAATTTTGAAAGAATAATGATTGAAAATTCCCCAGAAGCAGAGAAAGACATGATTCTGAGACTGAAAGAGCCAACCAGGCTAGAGAAAACACAACACTGCATCTAATTACATCACATACATCACACTGAAATTACAGAATGTTAAACAGAAAACTAACCCTATCAGACATGGATAAACTACAAAGAGATGAGAATCAGATGGACTCAGGTTTTTCACCGGCAATGGTAGATATGAGACAATGTAGAAATTATCTCAAAAGCTAAAGCACTATGGCAATGTACTGGGTAACTGGAGAACATTTTTTAAAAAATATTACTTGCTTATAATTCATCCTGGCAATTCTGGAGAGGGCCTTATTTCTGTATTTAAAATAACTTCCCTAGATGATTCTTACTTGACTCTTAATTAAGAACTTCTGTGCAATGGGAAAACAGTCTGAAGGTAAACTGGGAAAGCTATCAAGAGGAGGAGAAACTTAAAGGATCACTAGAAGCTTCTATTAAGCAGATTAGGTGGAGAAAGATGAGGTAACTGAAAAGAGGGAAGAGAAAAAATATGGGACAAAGAAGAGTATGAGGGAGGAACTCTGGGAAAGGCAGTCTGGTGTGGTATAAAGGAGATAGTAAGGCTCAACAGAATGTAATGGGTCATGTTTTACCAGCAAAGAATTAGTCATCACAATGTCACTCTCACATGACTTCTACAGTTAACCAAAGCAAAAGGTTACCTGAGCATTGCCATACTGCACAGTGGAACAGTAGTTCTTGATGTCACTCTTGCAGGCTTCATACAGATCTGGCTCCAGCCGGATGTCCTCTGTCTGTATAAGAGGGAGTAAGCATGGAAAAGTGAGCTGCTGCTGCTTCCTTTTTAAAAATTTTATTTACTTGTATGTGGTGCTGAGAATCGAACCCAGTGCCTCATGCATGCTAGGCAAGCGCTCTACCACTGAGCCACAACCCCAGCCCTGAAAGTGAGCTTCTTTAGGCTGGAAATGTCAGTGTTCTATAGACTTATTTGTTGGTTGAATATCTATCTATCTATCTATTTATTTATTTATACATAATACCTTTATTTATTTAGTTGTACACAATACCTTTCTTTATTTATTTTTATGTGGTGCTGAAGATTGAACCCAGGGCCCCACACGTGCTAGGCAAGCGCTCTACCGCTGAGCCACAACCCCAGCCCCGTTGAATCTTTTTTAAAAATCTTATCTAGTGACCACAACTTCTACAAATGGCAGCAGTGGGGCCATGCAGCAGGTGGCCTTAAGCCTTCTTAGAAAATGAAATGCCATGTCTAGTCCTTCAGAGGACTGCTGAGATGAAATAAAACTATGTGAAAATCACATTAGAAAGTTAAAACTATAGTGCAAATATAGGATTCTACCTTTATTATTTTATCAAAACAGGCTCAAATGAGAAATCAAAGTTTCTAGCTCAAAACAAGTCTCTATTATAATAGGACATTCAGATCAGCTCCACTTAAATAGAATCATCATTGAATGAATCACTGCCACTGAATGTGAAAAGCTGACAACTTTTGTGATTTAATGATGTTTGGTCTCCATTACTAATTTTTACTTAGACTGAGGTGAAATGGTATGATTCATAGCATCAAACATACAAAAAAAATATTTTAATCTTTTTTTTTAACAAGATCTGGGTATGACTTCAACAAGAAGAGCAAGAGCAAGAGCAAGAAGTGTCCTCCTATAGTGTACACTGCATATGACCCAAATCCATTCTACCTGGTAAGAAGCAAACTCATCAGTGCATGGTGTGGCAGTCCCCTGGACACCGCAGCTGCTTAGGGGGTGGGCACAATCCAACAGATGGGAAGGAAATTTACTTCATGGTAAAGGGAGATTTCTTTTTCCCTTTTCCTGTTGGATTGAGTAGTGGAATAGGCAGTCCAGTGTCACAGACAGCCACTGTATGGAGCCAAGAGTGAAACCCATATTGGCATGAAGCTGATGCCACAGAGAGGAAAAGACCCTCAGTCCTTGAGGACATTATTGATCAATGACTGTTATAACAAACTTAAGAGCTTGCCCTAGAGCTAGTTTTCCAATGTGTGTAAAATGCTTTATCCTTCAAAACCAAAACAAAACAGCGAGACAAGAAGCTAATGTCCACATGGTAAAATTTCAGCAAGGTGACTCCGACCTTGACCATAATAATAGTTGCTAAAATCTTTGGCTTTGTCCCCACCCATCCCCAGCTTTCTAAGCCCGGGCCCCTGGGGTTTGTGGGAAGCAGTACCATCTCTAGTTCCTCCACACGGAGCTGCTTACGGCACTTCAGGGACACTCTGTGCTCCTTGGCTTCCTGCAGAGTGTCATTGCGCACAGTGGTGCTAAGGCAGATTACCACATCCACCCTGCCAAGAGACGAGAAGGCGTGAGATTGGAAGGAGCCACACATTTACCCAGAATTCATAATCTTCGCCATGTGTTTGAATATCTTTCCTATAAGTCTGTTTTGTCTTTTTTTTTTTTTTCAGAATGCTAAAAGCAATCTGACTGTACAGTAGTTCTCCCTTATTTACTTATTAATGGCCCCAAAGTAAGAGTAGTGACACCGGCAATTCCAAAGAGAAACTGTAAAAAAAAAAAAAAAAAAGACATGCTGGGATAATGCTGGGATAGCTGAAATCTACAGTACTAAGAAATACTGAGAGACTGAGAGAGATTGAGACAGATCATCCATAAAACTTTTTATTAATTTGTTTTAATCTGTTTTATTTTAAATTATTCATATTAATCTCATACTGTGTCTAATTTACACATTAAACTTTATCATAGGTAAGTAGGAGTAAAAAAAAAAAAACACAGCATCTATATGGGGTTTGGTACTATCTGTAGTTTAGGCATCTGCTGGGGGTCTTCAAATATATCCCCTGCTGATAGAGAGGGACAACTGTATATCATAAAAAGAATCAGCCTAAATGCTGATCACATTTTTAAAAGGACATGTATACGAGGACAGCTCAACAAACAAGGGACCACAGAGGATGCTGCTCTGAATTCTGGGCCTGTGTCTTGGAGATTCTATGAAACTTATTCCTAGAAAGTACAGAAATCCATGCAAAATGGGAACCTGGTTTATATGAGAGGAAATATGTTCTAGAAGTGTGTCTTTTCAAAAAACAATACAGAAGAATTTGGGTAGTAATGCTGCTAGAGTCTATCAGCATCCTAATTAAGACCTAATTCTGAAGTTAAGCAAGCTTCTGTTTCTTCCAGATATCTAACTCAGTAAAAGCTGTGGCTATTTCTTAGCAGAGGTGACTAATGAGATGATGTTGGGAAAAAGTTGGTTCACCTTTCCTCTCAACTGAAGCTTACTTCTTTTTTTGTAAAAAATATTTATTTTTTAGGTGTAGATGGACACAACACAATGCCTTTATTTTTTTACGTGGTGCTGAGGATTGAACCTGGGTCCCGCTCTTGCTAAGTGAGCGCTCTACCGCTGAGTCACAATCCCAGCCCTGAAGCTTACTTCTTAAGTATACAATCTGCATCTGTTTCACCAATTAACCTGGAAAAATTAATGATGTCCCCATAGCCTATGGTATCTCCTCATGAGAACTTCCACACCGGGAGTTCTTCTGGGGAGCTATGAAGATGACTTGTCAAGGCAATCCAAGTGTATGGCTATACTACCAAAGAAGAGGCACAGAAGATCTCTAGGGCTGCTTCTGCTACTGCCCGATATCCTGGATAGTCATTTAGCAGCTAACAGATCAATTAAGAGGTACATACTTCTTTTTTATGTTGGGGCAAAGTTTCAACACATCTTCCTTGCAAGCCATTTTGAACTTGTAAGAGAACCGAAAATCCTTCATCTGTACCTGAAAGATGATGAGAAAGAAAATCAGAAGCTTTGTGATTTTGCCGAAATCTATAGTATTGAGAGAGATTGAGAGACTGAGAGAGAGACTGAGATAGAAAGATCATCCATAAAACTTTTATTATTTTGTTCTAATCTGTTTTATTTTAAACTATTCATATTAATCTCATACTGTGCCTAATTTATACACTTTGTGGTCAATACTGGTGGGTGACATTTTGATCATACAGTTTTCAGAAGCCTGCTCACGGGACCCTGCATAACTGTCCTATCTTGAGAACTTTGGGATTTGCTCTGCCACTTCCTTCAGGTTTCTATTCTAGTACCTCCTGGTGAAACCCCTTTTCTCCTTCACCCTTTATCCCCTGCCTCAGTTTTTCATCTTGAAACTACCTGAGACTGTACAGTCATTTGTACACTTGTTTTTGTGTCTTTGTCTTACTCGAATCTAGAGTCCACAGGGTAGGGGTACTCATTAACCTGATGGAATGCAGGCAGGTGGTCTACATGCCTGAGAAGAGGTCAATGTGCTCAGGTTACTAGTTTCATTTTCCCTGAAGGAAGCACTTGCTATACCAAAACACTTCTTAGTCACCTGTGTAACCACAAAGTATGGTCTAACTTTTTATTCAACTATCAGATCTGGGTTGCATGATTTAGAAGAAAAAAAGGCTTCTGTACTGAACAGATAACAGAAAACAAGAGACTCCAGGGACGCTAACCATTAAAGGAGAAGCCAACCCATCCTGTGACTGGCGCAAGAAATGCCTGCTTACTTATCTCTATTCTCCCTAGACTAAACGCTCCCTAAGGAAAAGAGACCATGTCTTATTTATCACTGATGTCAAGGAGCCTAACAAAGTGTCTAACCACATTAGAGAAAAACTAAATTTATTGAGAACAGTTAAAATAGGACATATACTTGGCAAAAAATGATTTTTTAGGAACAGCAGAGTTGTTCTGATGTTCCAAAAGAAGAAGAGGTTCAGTAGTCAACCAAGCAGCTAAGATAGGAAATTGACAGGCCAGTGTCACTGACCAGCTGAAAGTGGGTAACTCCAATGGCACATTTCTCGTTCATATCCTTCTGGTGTTTGTTCTGAATCAGACACTCCATCAGGTCCCCAGAGTCTATCTGGTTATCTGCCACATCCTGGGGAAAACAGCACATACTTACACTTCATTTGCAACGGTTAAGTGAATAAAAACTATAGCTTATTCTGGGAAAAGTGAAATAGGATTGATTCTAGAAGCTTTCACAAAAAAGATAAATCAAAAATTATTCAGGGCCAGGGCTGTGGCTCAGCGGTAGAGCACTTGTCCCGCATTGTGAGGCCCTGGGTTCGATCCTCAGCATCACATATATAAAAAATAAAGGTATTGTGTCCACCTACTACTAAAAAAAAATTTTTAAAATAATTACTCAAAGTAAGGCCGGGTGCGGTGGTGAACACCTGAAATCCCAATGGCTCAGGAGGCTGAGGCAGGAGGATCGCGAGTTCAAACCCAGCTTCAGCAAAAGTGAGGCGCTAAGCAACTAAGACCCTGTCTCTAAATAAAATACAAAATAGGGCTGGGAATGTGGCTCAGTGGTTGAGTGCCCTGGAGTTCAATCCCCAGTTACCCCACCCCCCAAATTATTCAAAGTAAGTCTGAGAAATTACAAAAGATAAACATTTAGTGGGACAAAATTTACACAGCAAGTTGTACATGAGACAAGAATATATACTATGAGGGCTTTTACTCAGTGCCCTTACATGATGCCAGCAGCTGGCTTTTGAGATAATATCTAATAGCCTCCTGGATATCATGTCCTAAAAGTTCCTAGGTATATTTCATTACCACAATTCAGGTAGTTCAACAAATGAGTAAGTAATAAAGTAACAGAATTCATTCAACATTGAAGTACAAAGGAGACAGCTGATATGAGAAGTCAGTCATTATTGCAACTGCTAACAATTCAACCATGCTACTAAGGGGCGTCCCTTTTACATCTTTTCTTATAGAAGGCATCTCTACTACCAATGTTACCCATATATCATGTCGCCTACAAAGGCTAATCAAACAAGGTTTGCCAGGGTGGGCCTTCTCTCTTGAACTATTGTTTACATTTCCAACTGTTTTCTTGGTGGTACTGGGGAATACCAGAGAGGTTCTCTACCAGGAGCTACAAGCCTCACCCTTTTTAAAAATTTGAGACCTAGGCTCACAAAGATGCTGTGGCTGGAACTTGCAATTTTCTGCCTCAGCCTCCCAAGTAGCTGGGATTACAGGTATGCACCACCATGCCTGGCATACGTTTCCAGCTTTCACTTGTCAAAGATGGCTGTCACCTGGGAAGAATGTATGCTGAAGACAGAGATAAGTTCAACACCCTCAGGACCAGAGTCCCAATGAATTTGGTTCTATTTCTAATTCTTGTTCCTCCAGACATCACTTACATGGCAAAAGTTCTGAATTATGGGTTCGCAGGCTCGCATCAGCAAAGCTTCTATTTGAATATCCTGTAGAAGATTAAAGAGATTAATCTTTCTGCATTAGAAAAAGCCAGAGGTAGAAGAGTAGCAGCTTCTCCTTCTAAATCAGGAGCATCAATGGGCAAATAATCTAGTATGTGCATTTAGAAACTATTCTAGTATTTAAGTTACCCAGTCGCAGAAATACATGAATTGCTTCTCCATTATATTCGAAAAGGCAAATTTTCTAGAGGCAGATTCCCCTTATACCTTTACAAAAGAGGATAAGAAAGGTGGGATGATGATACTAGAGTGTTTCCAAAACACCACACAGTTCAAAATGAAAACAGTGTAACTGGATTTTGTTTATACGCTCATAATCCAGATCACTGAGTTTAGACCAGTTGATGAGCCACTGCTCTGGTGAACACCTGCTAAAATGCCTTTAAACAGAGCAACAGAGTGTAGCACTAGTGACTGAAGTAACATCTTCCATCAAGAGTGACAAACTGAGAATGTCCTCATCAGCCCACAGGGACAATGAGAATGGGAATGGAGATGACCCAAGATGAGAGAGAGCAATGTGCTTTTGAAAACTAGAAAGCAAAGAAGGATTGATCGAGAAATGTAATTTTATTTAATGCCAGTTTTGACAATTCAGATCGTACTAAAAAGGCTTATGATGAAAAAAGAACAATTCCCTATTTCTGCCCCCATAAGAGAAGTTTAGCATTTTTGGCTGTCTCCCCACCACAGTAATAATCTCTGTAGTTCTGGATAACATGCCTGTGCCTTTGAAGATTTTAAATCTTATGTTTGATATTTTAGTGGGTTTCAGGATGGATCAGGGCTAAACATGTGTTCAAATGTCAAGTGTAACTGGCAGCCCCAGGCTTTTACTTTATTACATATGAAAATTACAAATGACCTAACTAAAAGAGCTAAGAAGGGTAAGAGATGAGGAACACTTAGATTACTCTTGAATGAGATTCAGAGATTAGAGGGGTAGCAGCTAGCTTTTCTTAAGGGTCCAGTCACTGTGATAACTCTATGAAGAAAACCAAACGCCAAATGCATCCAGGGTTTTTCTAGAGAAATGAGGGAAGGGGTCAGGAAACAACCCAATAAACTTTTTTACGAAGCAAATGGGGAGGATCTGATTAGGTTTCTTTTGATTGACAGAGGACCTATATTCTCAAGAGTACAGAAACAGAACTGAGCAAAAAGGTCAGGCTACTGGCAGGCCCATCTCCTCCAGGGAGCTGCATATGGCTTACCTCTGACTCTAACTCGGTGAGGTTGCCCACTATGTCTCTGCACTCCACAGCCAAGTCATCCAGATGGTCCTGGAGGCACTCAAGCTCCTGTGCATAAAAAGGCAAGCCCTTGGTATTCATCAGTCACATAAGTAAACAACGGAAGTTGAGAATACCAGTTTCTACTTCTTTTGAACTGGTCCTCCTTTTCCTCTTAAAACTATTACTATCTCACTGAATAGAACACAAAAGTTTAATTTGATTCACCAAACTAAGATTGTTGAAAAGATAATTACTTTCTGTAGCAGGGTACTTAAGAGGGCCAAGGGAGTACAGAAATGCAAATATTAGAGGAGGCCAAATCTACAAGTCCAACAAAATCCATACTTAGGGTCCTCAAAGTCTAAACATCTTATCAGGCTTTTATTCCATTCTGTCAACACTCTGCCACTCCAGTTTTTTTTTTTTTTTGGTGTGTGTGTGTGGTGTGGTGCTGGGGATTGAACCCAGGGCCTTATGTTTGCAAGGCAAGCACTCTACCAACTGAGCTTTATCTTCAGCCCAGCCATTCCCCTTTTAATCTGTGGGGTTTTGTTTGTTTGTTTGGTACTGGGAATTGAACCCAGGGGCACTTAATCCCTGAGCCACATCTCCAGCCCATTTTTTATTTTGAGACAGGGTCTCACTATTGAGAAGTAGCCGTATTGCTTTGGGACCTCGATAAGTTGCTGAGGCTGGCCTTGAACTTGTGATCATTCTGCCTCAGCCTCCTGAGCTGCTGGGGTTAGAGGTGTGTGCCATTGTGCCTGGCTTAATCTGTGGTTTTTTTTAATGGGCCTTTACTTTGTTCATTTACTTATATGCGGTGCTGAGAATTGAACCCAGTTCCTCACACATGCCAGGCAAGAACTCTACCACTGAGCCACAACCCCAGCTCCTTAATCTGTGTTTTGATTATTTTTTACCTTCCATATTAAATCTGCAATTTGATAATGATCACAGGACAATAAATTCATAGTGAAAGGCATGAATTATGTTAAGACTCTGCATGGGCAAAGTAGATGGGGACAGAGGACTTGGAATACAGGATAGAGCTTAAAGTTCCTACAAGTCAGATCTAGGATTCACATTAAAAGGATCCTCTAAGGTAAACTTAAAAAGAAGGGAGCACGCTAGAGTTTAGATATTTAAAAGCTATTTTGTCCATGCTTTTGAAACCGAGCTGAAGCTTCCCTGTAGCCTTAGTATATTATTTTTCCTCTTAGAGGAGCAGAGGTTTAAGTGCAACATCAGCTCACTTTCCCAAAGCAATATGGCTACTTCTCAGAAGAGTGCTGTAAAGGGATCAGGTTAATGTATTGACCATTTTGCAGGAATCTCTCTGTTTTAGATTTAGAATAGGAAGAGAGGTGAAGGGTTGAAGGAATCATACAATAATCAGAATGGAAGGGGGGAAAACCTAAAGGAAAATGCAAAAACCTTTTGGGAGTAAAATAAATAAATGGCTAAGGAAAAAAACCTCATCTATGGAGTCCTTTCTTAGGTTTAGCTGCTCAGTGAATATGTGCAGCTTCCTAAATGTTTACTTTACAGAGGAATATGAAGGAAACTGTTCCCCAGGATCCCATATTAACATGTCCTTTGTTCCACTGGATGGATGCAGCAGAAAGCTAAATTATAGGCATTTTCTAACAGTAAACCCTGAGAACTACAGCACATTCAGGCAGCAGACTCTGAAAATAGACCTAGTAGGCAGCCACGTTGCTTCTTTAAAATGTCCAATTCCTATACATGTGGCTTTTTAATACTTTAATTCCAGAAAGGGCTTTATAGTTGTACAAATTCAGCCTGACTTCACTCCTTATTCTAATATTAATGTGGCTTTAAACAAGTAGCTATTTCTCACTGCTGATTATCCTGCTTTATGACAGAAAAAACGCTTCCTTTCCAGGTAACCTCCAGTCATGTACCATTTTTTCCCTTTCCCTCACAAACCAGGCACATGATCCTAAGGAACTATTCCCAGCCTGTGTAACTCTTGGCTTCTAAAAGTCTGTATCTCTAGAAGTATGATCATACATTCAGCATAATAAAATATCCTAATAAAAATTAATTAAATTCGGGGCTGGGGTTGTTGCTCAGTGGTCGAGCGCTCGCCTAGCATGTGAGAGGCCCTGGGTTCCTTGCACTTTCTACAGGGAGCTTATAACACAAGGGAATGAGTTCCTCACTCAGATTAAACATGAATTTTAGGAAAGGGGTCAACACATTTTACTTATCTGAGCCTCTATTTGGTCAACTAGGTGGAAAAAAACAATTCCATTTCCAGATATCTTGTGCTGTTCTGGGGCATGCACACTATTCATGCATACCAATATTTGTATATGAATAATACTTTGCTTATTTCAGAAGGATTTAATGTGGTTTATAAAGGTGAGAACAGGAATAAAAAGGCAAGATAAAATGAAATTAAAAATGAGTAAAAAAAGAAAAGGAAAATATGTTAAGGAAAGTGGAATGGAACCAGCAATAAACAAGCCTGATACATGAAATCCTATATGCTAGTTAGAGCTGAACCTTTGGCTCTAAGCCTTGTAAGAACCAACACAAAGAGGGAAAATAATCAATTACAAAATATAGTAACCATAATATAGAAAAAAAGTAGCTACTTGGGAAAAAGACAATTATTCTTGATATAAAGACCAAAGAACATTTTCCTGAGGATTTCTTCTACAGAGAACACGAACGGTATAATAAATCAAGGCTGTAAAGCAAACACCAAGATGGATCTCACTGTAAGTCATATAAAACATTGCCATTAACAGTAAAAAACAAACAGGAAGCCCAGCTGCCTACCTGCCCGGTCTCTGTTTTCTCACTACACCATTTCCCCAGATCTATGAGGCATTTATCCTGGAGGGCAGGATCCAGCTTAACATCCATGGCACGTTGGTGTAGAATCCTTTGGACTTCAGCTCGGCACTCCCGGGAGAGCTATGTGACAAACAATTAACAATTTAATTTAAAAGTCCAAAACAGGGGCTGGGGATGTGGCTCAAGCGGTGGTGCACTTGCCTGGCATGCATGCGGCCTGGGTTCGATCCTCAGCACCACATACAAACAAAGATGTTGTGTCCGCCGAAAACTAACTAACTAACTAAATAAATATTAAAAAAAAAAAAAAGTACCAAAACATATACATGAAGACACCAGACAGAGCAAAACTGTTCTCAGGAAACTAAAAAATATCTCTGTAGTTTATCTTCCAAACTTTATACCTCAAATCTCTTCCAGAATAAGAATTACATGTTCTAGGAGCCTTCTAAAAGTCCATATCTCTAGAAGTATGATCATACATTTAGCATAATAAAATATCCTGATAAAAATGAATTAAATTAGGGGCTGGGGTTGTTGCTCAGTGGTAGAGCACTCGCCTAGTATGTGAGAGGCCCTTGGTTCAATCCTCAGCACCACATATAAATAAAATAATGGTACTGTGTCCAATTACAACTAAAAAATAAATATTAAAAAATATTTTAAAAAATGAATTCATACAGATTAGGTTAGTTACTTTCTGGTTAGCAAAGTTAACTTGCCATTCTATGGGTAGGAGAGAATATCAGATCTGATTCAGGAAGAATGACACTTGATTTAGGAGAACCAAGTTCCATCTGAGCTTAGTTCATTCTCAGTTCCTCAGAATGAGGCAGGCAACTGCAGGAGCCAGTTAGACCAGGCCAGATTCTTCTAGATGAATTATGTGGCATGAGTAGAGGTGAAGCAGGTGGAAACTGATAGTTTTGGAAGGGCCATAAAAAGCTGTTATTGACAGGTACAAATGTCTCTTCCTAAAGAAGGCAGCACACCTAAGGCAAGAAATACAGATTTAATTTCTTAGTGTTTGGAGTCATGTGATGTTCTGAAACTAGACATAGCTGGTGGTACACAATATTGTTAATGTATTTTTCAAATGCCACTGGATTTTTCTCTTTAAACTGGTTAATTTTATATTGTGAATTTCACCTCAATACAAAAAAGCTAGCACATCAGATTCCATCCCTTTCTTCATTTGTAAGAGCTGGAACCTCCTACTAGAGTGACTAGCTAGATGCCAGGATTTGGGAGCCCCTGTAGTTAATGAGAGGCTCATTACACGAAGTAAAATGTAAAACAAGTCCCATGTTTTCTTATATAACTGTAAAAAACTGGGTTAGACTAATAGCAATTGAAGTACATTTTTCTACTTCAGTCCTCCTCTTTTGAAACTTATACAGTCAGATAGATCTGGGCACTGAGCTCAGAAGGGGTACTTGTAAAGAAGCTCATGAAGTAATGCCATGCTTTCCTTACAAATGCAGAACTGACATGCATGCAAGTAGGGGTTTCCCAGAAGGTGTGAAAAAAATCATTCTGGAGAGCAACCAGGATGTCAGTGAGGCACTAGCAGGCAGTCAATGCTGCCTGAGAGCCAAGGATACACAAAAACCATACCCAAAAGCAGCAATGGGGCAAATACCAAGAGACTGGGGTGTGGAAGTTTCTGTTCCAACTGGTGCATTGTCAGAGAAGCCTCATTAGTACAGGCATTTGTGTTCAGCTGTCAGGGGCAAAAGCCTAAAGAACCATTTGTATCCTGGCTAAAAGCTTCTAATGGATCTTTAAAGCTAAATAAAGTTAGGACCAGAATTTTAATTGTCCATTTGTGATTCAGATTTTAGTAATTTAAAGAAAAAACCTGGATATGTTCACCCACTCACTTTGTTAAAAACATAATCAGATGAAAAGAAGTGGGTGAGCAACTGCAGGGATGCTCGCTAAATGAAGAACTTTCTAGAAGAACAGCAACATCCTCCCCACAAATAAACAAATGACAGGGCTGGGGTCGTGGCTCAGAAGTAGAGCGCTCGCCTAGCATGCATGAGGCACTGGGTTCAATCCGCAGCACCACATAAAGTAAAATAAAGATATTGTGTCCACCTATAAGTAAAAATAAAATATTAAAAAAAACTAAACAAACAAAAACAAACAAACAACAAATGACAGGAAGAAACCAAAGTTGAATGCATACCCTCCTTCCCTGCTCCTCAGTGCGGTAAGCATGTCTGTATAAACAAGAGAACACAGCTCCGGGAGGCATAAGTTCACTGGTCTCGTTCCAACCATGGGTATGGCAAAGACGAGACGCATCTCCCTGGCACTTGCGGTAGAGGACAGGATCCAGCCTAGAAGACAAAGAGTAACAATTTTCCTTCAGACAGGCTATGGGTTTTCAGCAGGTGCTTGCTGATGTACTCACTGATAATCACCTCCAGAATAGCAGAGACAGTAGGTAAGCAGAAGTATGTTCCTGAATGCTGCTCTTAGTGGACACATGGTGGTCAATCTGTAGAAGTTTGTTAACTTCATTCTGAAGTCCACTTTCTACCTCAAAGATGTTATCTTGGTTATGGAAGTTACCTAAAGTTACAGTAAGACTCAGCATTCACATGTCTGGGTCACAAAGGAAAGCCAGGGTTATAGCCACCAAGAAATTCACAACTTGTCACTAAATACATCTTCCTCTCTGATAGACCAGATCCAGAAAGGTGAGGAAACTGTCTCCTACTCAACTTTCTCTCTAGTAATACTGTTCCTCTTTCTTTTCCCATACAAGGTAAAACAGTCATCTTTTATTTTACTTAAATATGTTTATAAAATTATAAAACATGACATTTAACTTTGAATCTTGGGACAGTGGGTTAGATGATGAGCCTGCTTCTTTAAATCAGATCAAGGGATAGTTGATTCTTTCCACATTATATTGTTAACTGTGAGGAAGGGCTACTTAATGGGAAGAGAGAAGCTAATATTTAAGAAGACACTTTTAAGACTATGAAGTAATTTTTTGATCATGGGGGAAAGAATAAAGAGGAGAAACCACAGTTTTGATCAAGGGGGCATACTCAGTACTCTTGGTTATTTCAGTTCTGAGGGCCTGAGGAAGCACAGGGCAGTTACCACCCAGCTTTCTGCAGTCCTTTCCTGAGTTAATTTGAAGGGATAGAAATAAAAACATATTGGATTTTCAAGTAATTTCTACTAAAACACTGAAGGCAAAATGTAGTCACCAGAAAAGGCTAATGACCACAATACAGTAGCTTAAATAACTGAATCAGGAAGTACCTAAACTTACAAAGTAGTGTGACCCAGTACAGGTGGCTATGGAAGTGGGAAAGAAAACAAAACATGGAAGGAGGATGGAAATGCAGCCAATAAACCACAATGATTCTGACTATAACAGAGATCCTTCTCCTATGTCAGCCCCCCCACCTTTTTTTTCTAACAGGATGAAAAGGGAATTAAAGAATCAAGTTGTCATCTCTCAAGATAGAATAAATTCAATAACTTTAAATAGTAAAGAAATAAAAACAAATTCCCATACCCAGTGCAAATCAATAGACACAAATGCATTATTATCTTCCTAATGTCATATCTGAAGATGTTTTTGCTGACCCCACAGATGCCAGAGTTCTTTCTAGATAGATGTTTGTGGTATCAGAACCATTCTGACCCTGATTTCCAAAGTAGTGGTGCACAGGGATGCTTGGTACAGACTGTACAAGGCCCTAGTTTCAAAGCCCAGCACTAAATCCCCTACACACACACACACACTCTGACAACACATAAGAACAGGTTAAATCAGTGCCTTACATTGTTCAAAATACTCACTTCCAATCCCGAGAGATAAAATACTGCAGCTCTAAGAGTCGGTGTTCACAATCTTCCACCATTTTCTCTGTGTATAAATGCTCCATCAGGCATGAAAGGATCCTAACCATAAAGAAGGTAAAATTGTAACAAGAGAAGAGCTCTGACTACAGTTTTCAAACTCTCACTTCAATATAATATTTCCTTGGTCAGTAGAAAATGCCCTTCAGCTATTTTCCTATAGCAATTGGATGTATTTTTCTTAGAATCACACAAATCAACTCAGCCTGATAGCAATTACATCTTTTATCAACCTCAGAGCCATTCAGCACTTAGAACCTGGTGTACATAAGATCTGTGCTACTTTATTTTTAACTATTTATTATGAAAAATTTCCAATACACAAAAGTAGAGAATGATATCTGGTCACTTTAACCTCCTCGCAGAGTGACCAAGTTCGTTTTAACTCTATTTCCCCTGCTGATATTTTAAAGAAAATCTGAGATACCAAATCATTTCATTCATTCAATTCAGCAGGTTTCTCTAAAATATCAAAATACCATAGTGACCTTACCAAGAAATAAAAAAATCTTTAATATCATGTAATATCCTGATCATTTTCAGATTTTCCCAATTACCTCATATATATATATTTTTAACCTTTATTTTGTTTATTTATTTTTATGTGGTGCTGAGGATCGAACTCAGGGCCTCACGCGTGCTTTACTGCTGAGCCACAATCCCAGCCCCATATCTCATATCTTTTTACACGTTTGTTCGTATTAGGACCCAGCAAAGGCCCACATGTTGCATTCAACTGAAAAACTTCTTAAATCTCTGAATCCATAGCAGTTCCCTTTCTTTCTCCTTCTCTCTGGCGCCCTTTTTGGTTGATGCAGTAATCTTTATATTGCTAAATATTCTTATTAAGCATAAGGAATTTCACATAGCAGATTCAAGGTAAACCTGGATTCTCTTCACTTTATTGCTAGGTACTATCAGCTACAAGCTATAAAGATTTTTGCAGAATGGAAAACCTGTTCTTACTTGCAACCTGGTTTTGAGAACAGTTTTCACATCATATAGAAGAAAACTAATGCAAGAGAATAAAATGCTTTCCCATAACATTTATCCAGCTTTCCTAGATCTTAGATGCAACTCTAGTGTTCATTCTGCCATGACTACATGCTCCTACTACCACATTTGTTTTGTTTCAATTACAATGAACTGCTTTCTAATAATTATCAAGTAGCCAATGTGTGCAATGAGTCAATATATAAATAGGATGAAAAATACAGAGTACCAGTGTATGTATCACTTTATTTTGAATATTTTTTTCTCTCATTTTCATCAGCATTATAGTTGCTCAGTGACCTAACAGGCCCATGCATTCTCAGTCATTGTCAACAAGCATCATCACGGTACTGTTTCTAAGTGTCTCTTCTACATGGAGGAGGCAGATCAGAAGTCTGAATTCCAAGTTTTAGCAAAAGTCTGTACGTGTTCCTACTCAACAAAATTTTAGTCAAGATGTTAAATCACACAAAGGTCATTTGAGGAAAAGTTCCCTGTGCTGCCAAGTAAAATGCAATATGGATGAACACACAAATAAGATAACCTACATTGGGTCTCCAGATCGTATGTGTTTGCAGGCTGTTTGTATTACAGATTCACAAGCTTCATTCAAAGCTCGATCAATGCGGTAATCTGCACCAGGGTCTGTCTCCTGAATCAGTGTTTGCAGCTGGATTTAAAAAAAAAAGAAAATCAAGAAGGAAGAAAGAAAGTCATCTAGGCACCAGAGAATAGCAGTGTCATCCCATCATACAATGAGTTCTCAGTCTAGTACATCACAACATACTTTAACAAAGTACTACACTTGTCACTGGCCAAGCTCAAGAACTTCTGCCAAATACTTTTCAGCTGTTTTGTCCACCTTGATCCAAGTTTTTCTGTTCAACCCATTGTGAAAATGGCTTTATCTACCTCTTCCAAACCATCTGCATAAGAACACATCTTTATAATGTGACCTGAAGGCTACTTCTCCCTCCTTATCTGCTCACTTGCTATCAGATTACTAAACCTCTTGGGCCAAGCCAGAGTTGAGCGGAGGAGAGTGATGAGAAGACATATCTAGTTACAGACCTAATTTAGTCCTAAAATGAATTTAGAATTTGCTGCCATCTTATTGGTATTAAAACTAGTGTACTTCTGGGTATGGTGCTACACACCTATAATCCCAGTTACTGGAGGTGTTGAGGCAGGAGGACTGTAGCTGAGTGGTATAACACTTGCGTAGCATGGCTCAAGGCCTCGATATGGGAGACTGAACCCAGGTATGCTTCATGAGACAGAGTTTCATGAAGTTGCTTAAGGCCTTGCTATGTTGCTGAGGCTAGCCTTGAATTTGCAATCCTCCTGCCTCATCATCCTGAGCCATTGGAATTACAGGGTGTGCCACCTCACCTGGATGAATATGATATTCTTTATCTACTTTTGCTTGGTTCATCCTTTGCTATGGAATAAAGTCAATGCAGGAGAAGGCAGTTGAGGCACAGAGGAAAAAACTCCAAAACAAGGACCAGAAGACATGAATTCTATCAATGGCTTTTGCTCTGCTCAATATTAGCTTTGAGAATATGTTCAAGTTGATTAATCTCTAAGTTTTGGTTTCCTTTAACTGCAGAATATAAGAAATTATACTATCTTGGAAAAGAATGGGTACAGTACAAAGCATTTTATAGACATAAAAGATCATTTTTACTACAGATGGGTGACATATAGTGTTTGAGGAGGTGATCTTAAATAAGAGAAAAAAAATTTGAAAACTACAATTCTTATTGGTTTAAGTTATCTTTTTCCAAGTAAAAGAAGTAGAGGCCTTTTTGTGTCATTGACTTACCCTCTTTAGGACCTTTCTCTGATCTGTTATCCTCTGACCTGCAATCCCATAGGATTGATATCATCTGATAAATCCCTATTTATCAGAGATTGCAGATCAAAGGAAATGAAGAAAAAACCCTATTCTATCATGTTAAAAGAAGTCAATAATCAAGAGAGAAACATGAAAGATTTCCTGAATTCTGTAATGGAAGTTATTTATATCAATTCTTTTTTTTTTCAGAGTAGAAATTAGAAGTTTATTAAAGGACAGCAGAAAAGACTTCTCCCCAGAGGAAGAAGGGGACCCAAGAGGTGGAATCCGTGGAATGGATGTTGTCTCCCCTTTTTTATAGTTCTTTCAGTGATGGAATGTAGGTGGGAAGGCCTGAGGGGTGGGACACAGGTGGGCCAAAGAAGTAATCTGGTCAGGAAGGACTTCTGAGTCAGCACCTTTTTGCTGGGGGCTGTTTATTAACATTTCTTTGAGGTGGACTTTGGTTCTTGATGACAATTTGGAGAACATAAAAAAGACCATGATTAGTTGATGACAGCAAATCTATTCCAACCCCTGACATGCTTACGAAAACCTGGAAAAAGCTTTGGAGAAATGAATAGTCTATGATCTGGAAGAGGCTCGCCTAAACTCATATAGCCAGGTCTGAAGGGAAGTTAATAGTTCATGACTGGGTGTGGTGGCACGCCCCTATAATCCCAGTGGCTTGGGAGGCTGAGGCATGAGAATCCACAGTTCAAAGCCAGCCTCAGCAACAGTGAAGCACTAAGCAACTCAGTGAGCCCTACATGTATATGGCTCAATGGTCAAGTGCCCCTGAGTTCAATCCTCAGTACCCCCCTCCAAAAAAAGATAACAATTGTCCTTATGCTTTACAGTTTACTACTTGCTGAGCTATCACTAAATCAGTCCAAGCAGAGAGGAGTGAAAAATAATGGTTAACCACAGACAGGTATTGATGTCTACTGTACCAAGGAAGAAAAGTCTGAAAATAAATTGTTTCAAAATATTACTCTGTTTGATTGAGGATGGATAATGCAGGAGAAGACTACGAAATTTTCTTTCTTTGAAGAAATGCCTTCAGTTTTTGTGAGGAAAAAATAAAAAATAAAGTATTTCTTTTCTACTTGCCAAGCCTTCATGTGGGCAAAACCCCAGTGCTCGCTATTTGAGGCTACCCTCTAGGTTTGGAAAGCACTTTCTTCTGAGCACAAAGGCTGCCGTGGGCGGTACTTATTTATCTTTCAAGTTGAGTCACTAGTTTTTTCAACAGGCTAAATTCCAAAAAGCCCTGGGGGTGAACTAGATGCCTGAAAATAAAGTTAAACCAGTCTATTTTTTTTTTTTCTGTACACTTCACTACAGGTCTAGGCTGAGTAAAAAGACAGGCTTACTTCTGACCTCCCTCCACAACTTCTATTCTGAGTTAAGGATGAAGGGCAAATAAAGGCTGTCTCCCAATACATTTTTTTAATACTTTTATTTTATTTATTTTTATGTGGTGCTAAGGATCGAACCCAGGGCCTTGCACGTGTAGGGGCGAGCGCTCTGCCGCTGAGCCACCATCCCAGCCCCCAATTCATTCTTGATTTGGGGCCCAGGCACATTTATTGGCACAGAGGTTTCCTAGGGCAATCACCAGCAAGAACTGCTCCTAAGGAACTACATAGTGACAAACTCAAACCACAGCAGATTCTAGAAGCTATTCTTCTAGCTGGGCCTGGGATTTTTTTATTCATTCATTGATTCATTCACTGGTACTGGTACTGAGGATTAAACCTAGGGGTGCTTAGCCACTGAGCCACATCCCCAACCCCCTCCCCTTTTAAATATTTTTTTTTTTTTAGTTGTAGCTGGTCATAATATCTTTATTTTTGTTTGTTTATTTTTATGTGGTACTGAGGATCGAACCCAAGGCCTCACACATGAGAGGCAAGTGCTCTACCACTGAGCTACAACCCCAGTCCCTCCCTAGCCCTTTTTTTTTTTTTTGAGTTGCTTAGGGCCTCACTAAGTTGCTGAGGCTGGCCTTGAACCTGCAATCCTCTTGCCTCAGCCTCCAAAGTCGCTGGTATTACAGATGTGTGCCACCATGCCTGGCTGGGACTGGTATTCTAGAAGAGGCTACATTTGTCTATTTTTCCTACCATGGGATGTTCACATACAACTATGCACACTTCTGTCTGATGAAATTTTATTCCATGTCTAAATCTATGTTTCAGATTGTAAAATTTTGCTTCCAACTATAAAATTCTGAATTTCATGATTAGCAGGAAAATAAAATTCAAGTAATAGTTTTTAATAAAAATTTCAGTTATAAAAATAAAAGGCTAATTGTAGTTTTCTAAAGTTTCATTTAGGATAAAGCCTCAACTTTCTACTTTAGGATATCTAAAATATCCTTGCGCTTTCAAAAGGAAAGTTCATTGTAGAGAGTACTACTATTTTATTTGGTATTTTAAACTATTCAAAGACTAGTATCCAGTAAAAAAACCCAAAAAACCTAAACAAATACAACAGTAATGAGACAGATACAATATACTGAAATGTTTTAACTATATCAATTATCTCATTTGTAGTAACTCAACTTTTTATTAAGTTGGATTAAACAAAAGTGTATGAATTCTTCCAACTAGCTTTATAGAATCGACTGTAAAATTTGGGGGTGGCAAAAGGAGAACCTTCCACTCACAGTGCCCTAGTCAAATAAGAAAAGGTGGTGTGGGCTGGGGCTGTAGCTCAGTGGCAGAGCGGCTTGCCTGGCATGTGCGAGGCCTGAGTTTGACGGTTACCAACATACACAGATAATATAAAGGCATTCTGTCCATCTACAACTACAAAAACAACAACAACAACAAAAACCCCACACAACTTAAAGAGAAAATGGTGCAATTTTGAAAATAACATGCTTTCTTGATACTTCAGGCCATGCTGCATACCAGTAATAAAAAGACACTCTTAGAAGTTTCAGCTCATGTCAATTCACTTTCACATTCAGCTCAATAAAATGTACGGAGAGGTTAAAGCCCTTGATTGATTCATCAGAACCTGGTTCAACGAGTTCAGTAAATCTAGTAGAGCATGTGATGACCCTTTCTTTAGAAACTATAGTAAACAATGCATTTTCTTTATAGAATATAGTATATTGCTCTTTTTGTTGATTATGAGCTCTAACTTTTGTTCTGCAAGGAAATTCCATTTTCCTATTAATAAATGCTCAAAGAAACCAGATTCTGTCTGGTCCTTAGTACCTAATGTTCCACTGTGATAACAGAAATGATAGAGAAAAAGCAAGCTGGGACAGTGTCAGGGAGAGGCCAATTAGCTAATAAAATGTGACAGTCAAGGTGGCAGTAGAAAAAATTTCCTTACCGCCTGCTGGCAGTTCATTCCAAGGTTCCCCTTCTCCCCCCGAACAACTTTCATTAGACAGTGCAGGGTTCGCCCTTTCCGATGTAATCCAGAACAGTGGTGCTCAATCTCCCCTCGACAGCTCAGGATGATCTCAGGGCTCAAAGAGAAGTCTTCCATCAGCATGCGTCGGTAATCTAACATCTCCCCTTGGCACTCACTGCTGACTTGTCGCCCTAAGTTAGGATCAGAAATCACCACATATTAATTATATGATTCTGGGGCTGGGGTTGTAGCTCAGGGGTAGAGCGCTTGCCTCGCATGTGTGAGGCACTGGGTTTGATCCTCGGCACCACATAAAAATAAATAAAATAAAAGCTTTTATTAAAAAAAATTAGGGGCTGGGGTTGTAGCTCAGTGGAAGAGTGCTTGCCTAGAATGTGCAAGGCCCTGGGTTCAATCCTCAGCACCACATAAAAAAATAAGTAAAATAAAATACAGGTATTGTGTCCAACTACAACTAAAATAAATAAATAAATTGTGTTTCTGGGCTAGGGTTGTGGCTCAGTGATAGAGCGCTTGTCTCGCCTGCGTGAGGCACTGGGTTCAATCCTAAGCACCATATAAATAAATAAAGTATTGTGCCCATCTACAAGTTAAAAAAAAAAAACCTTAAAAAAAAATTGTTTCTGTCTAGAACAGGCCAGTCATACAATATCCAGACTGAAAAGTTTAGGACTCAGAAAAAGCTTTAGCAGCATAAAGCGCGTGGAGACTCCAGAAACTCAGGTTTATTCTGCCAGTGTTCTTTATCACACACATGTATTTCCTAAACTAATAATGCAAATGCTCTGCCAAAGGAAATATGTAGGTTGTTTTTTTTCTTGGTGTTGGGGACTGAACTCAGGACCATATACATATTAGCACATGCTCAACCACTGACAGAGATTATCAAAGAGTTTTATCAATATGAGAACCATTAGGGGTATAAATGAAAGCTAAAAAACAATCCTCATTGGCCTACACAGTTAAAGCTTGTACAAAAGACTATACTGTAAATATTTACTCTAGCCATCACCACCCCTTGCTTTATTGTGCTGTAAATTCCAACTGGGATAACATATGAGAGATTTAAAACAAAACAAAACAAAAAAACCATAAAAATTGCCACCCAGACAGTTAGTTTAGTGATATAGCCATAATTTGAAGTCAAGTATCTGTGACCCAGAGCTCACACACGAAATATTCATGTTACCCTAATCCTCCTAAAAATGCTAAACATATGTGTTTAAAAAATTAAGAATACTGGCGGGGCGCAGCGGTACATGCCTGTAACCCCAGCAACCTGGGAGTCCGATCAAGGGTTCAAAGCCAACCTCAGCAAAAGCAAGGCCCTAAGCAACTCAGTGAGACCCTGTCTCTAAATAAAAATTTAAAATAGGGCTAGGGATGTGGCTCAGTGGTCGAGTATCCCTGAGTTCAATCCCCGGTACCAAAAAAAAAAAAAAAAAAAGAAGAAGAATACTAGAAAACAAGAAGCTTTAGAATACAAATCTAAAAATGAACAAGGTATAAAAAGATAATAATTTTAATTATTAAAAAGGGATAAAAAGAAATGAATTCTTACCTCTGTGTACAGCTGACTCTAGGCACATCAGAAGGTAGGAGAGCCTGGCTTCCCGGGATCGAGGAAGGTTTTCCACATTGCACCGATATTTCTTCAAGTCGCTCTTACAGGATTTGGCCAATGAATAACTGACTTTATAATCCTGGGCAATCAGCTTTTGTCGGGTTGTCAGTGCTTCTCGACACTGAAGAAAGAACACAGCAAGAGAGCTGTAAGACCACTCACGTATTCAGCTGTTCACAAGAATTTCTGAGCAAGCATGGAGACTCACAGGCAAGCACTATAATATCTGCAGTCTAAATGCTGGTCTTTACATTTGGTTAAAATTTAGCACAGGTAAGTGAAACCAGTGTGACATAAGGCAGGAGTAAATGGGTGGGCATTCATTCCAAGACAAAACAGTAATAAGAATGTTTAATGAGATACTACTAAAAAATTAAAAAGCTGTTTACCTGTGAGGCACATTTATATAATATTTCACATTATTTTTTTTTACATTATTTAAATATTGTAACTAACCTAGAGTGATTTAGAGCATACAGAGAATGTGCCCAGTTACATGCAAACATTATGCCTGTTTACATAAAGGACTTGAGCATCCTTAGATTTTGGTATCTTCGGGGGTCCTGGAACTAACCCTCCTGTGGAAACTGAGGCAACTATATAAAGGGTTTGTGAAAGCTTTTAAGAAATTAATAGCTGGATGTGGTGGGACATGCCTATAATCCCAGCAGCTTGAGAGGCTGAGGCAGGAGGACTACAAGCTTGAGGCCAGCCTTAACAACTAAGAGAGGTCCTCATCTACCTAGAGAGACTCTGTTTCAAAATTAAAATTAAAAAAGGGTTGCAGGGGCTGGGGCTCAGAGGCAGAGTGCTCGCCTGGCATGCATGAGGCCTTGGGTTCGATCCTCAGCACCACATAAAATAAAGTTATTGTGTCTACCTATAATTAAAAAATAAATATAAAAAAGGGGAGGGGGTTGTAGATGTGCCTCAGTGTTAAGCACCCCTGGGTTTGATCTCTGGTACAAAAAAAAAAAAAAAAAAGAAAAAGAAATTAATAAAGTTGTTCCAAATTAATACCTTTTCACTCATGGATTCTTCAAATTTATGGTTAAAGAGGCACTTATACACTCTGCCTTCACCAGCTTGTGTCTGTAAGATAAAACACACACGTTGTTGTTATTATTACTATTAGCTAAGTAACTACTAAGGAACAGTGCATCATCTACGATCTCATATAAAACTTTCTAGAAAATACAGTTAGAGAACAAAGAGAAGTGTCAAATAAATCTCCTTTCTTACAACTTTTAGCATCAATAAAACAATCAGGGCTACGGATATAGCTCAGTTGGTAGAGTGCCTGCCTCCCATGCATAAGGCCCTGGGTTTAATCCCTAGTACCAACAAAAACTCTTCAGTGGCTCTGAAAGTTAATGTGTTATTTCAAAACAGCAGGCAGAGAGGAAGTATACACAAGTCACTCTCAGTCTTTTGATGTGAGAATGTAGACTATAAAGTGTCAGAAAGTTGTCTATAGGATATAGGGGCACAGCTCAGTGACATAGAGCACTTGCCCTCCATACTCAAGGCCTCCAGTTCAATCCCAAGCACAGGGTGGGGGGGGGGGGGTTGTCTAAGTTGTCTAAAGGGTCATCAGGTAGTAATCAAGAATTTGCAAGAATTTGGCTTTTAAAGTAGGTACTAGCCCAAACCATGTAAATATGCATGTGTCAGTTTTAACCATATAATAAATATGAACAGAATTCCGCAATAAAATAAAATTTCTATAGATAAAATAGAAGAATTGAAATTGATAAGTGAGACAAAGTAGAAAAAATAATGTGTGGAGACTATTAGAAGCCAACTGTTAACAAGATGATAAATCATCTAGGCTGAGCATCCAACAGTGTTTTCTGTTATCCTAGAACTGACTCCATCTCTCATTTCTATGGCTTTTCTGCATGTGAGGGTTTGTTGTGGTTTATTTTATTTTGGAATACAGGATTAAAGATATTTAAAAAGAAAAGGAAGAAAGAAGAACAGCTTCTAGGCTGACTCACATTTTCACAAAAACGCTCCCGATCATCTCTGCAAGCAAAATACAAATGCCGGTCTAAATGAAAGTCATCCGAGGACAGCTCAGCCACCCGGAGAATGGCTTTCTTACAGAGTTCAGAGACTTGAATCTTGGGTTCCTTTTCTTCTGCTTCCTTCACCAGGCCTTTCTCCAAGCATGATACCACCTCACCTTGAGAATGTGCATCCTAAAATAGAAAGGATACTAATATATATATAATACTAATAAACATCATTTAGTTAAAAGAAAAAAATGTAACAAAACCCCCAACATGGTTAAATTATTGATATTCTGAGAAATCAAGTGGGAATCTACCACATTATCCAAGTTTAAAAAAAAAAAGCCCTCAATAATCTTCAGCTAGAATATATATGTTATATGCTACAAATGGAAAAACACATTCTGGAAATTTTAAGTATAGGTTAGCACTAGAATTTAAAGGTTAAATGTCAGAAAATTCTCAAGAAATATCAGCCCAATGATCTGGTTCATGTTAATATTGAAACAACATTGCAGAAATCTCTGTAAATTAACCTCTAAAAGTCAGATATTTCCCAAATAATAGTGCTTTTCATCAAGTTAAAAAACAAGAAACCAGGCTGGGGACGTAACGCAGTGGCACAGCATGTGTTATCACATGCAAGGTCCTGGGTTGGATCGCCAGTACCAAAAACCACCCCAAACCCAAAACAAACAACAAAATCCATTAAAGAAAGATGTTATAAGACCCTCTGTCTCCAATATGTACCAACTGTAGTGTAATACTCACTTTGATGTTTTGGATTTATCTTAACGTGATTTAACATGATAACCATGGTTTATACAAACTGACTCTGAATTTTCCTAAGATCATCCAATTATCTTTAATTATATATTGTATCACTCTACAGCTACCACAAGTATTCATTCATTCATCCAAAATAGAAGAAACTTCCCTAGATATTTTTTATTCAAGATTCAAATCTTCTATAATTATAATATATGCTACAACTTGAGAGGTATAACCATTGATATAGGTAAACTAAAGCAGCTGAAAATAGTGTTACCATTTGTTTATATACACACATAAAAATGTTATGATAGAATACAAGTCCATGAAACCATAAGTATATAATATAAAAATTGTGAAAACCAGGTAGGGAAACAACTACTTTAGGCAAAATTTCAATAAAAGAATATATATATGTAATATATAAAATATATATAAAAGAATATTATATGCACATATTCTCTATCTTATTGTAACAAAATGTGTTCTGTAACACATTTATTTCCAACTGTTTCCACGCAAATGCTCATATTCTAAAACACCCATGAAGCAGGGACAGAGTTTTTATCTATTATACAGATGAACAAACAGAGGCTTAAAGGAATTATGCAACTCATCTGAGCTGCAAAATGTGGGTGGGTGGGATCTATGAAACTCCTAGAATTTATGTGTGGGTTTTGTACATTTTTATGAGGAGGTTTCAAAGTTTTCAAAACATCTGATAATCCAAAACTGATTAAGAAGCACAATGCACTAGTAGGTTGGCAGACCTTCCTATTCTCTATCAGGACCTCACCTTTTTCACTAGCTATAAATTAATATATTTGATGCTTAGAAACCTGGGATGACTGAGAAGTTTTTTTGGAGAAGAAAACTGAGGGATGAATGACAAAAAGGATGGAGAGAAAAAAGTAGCCATACACCCCAGCAATCTGGAATAGGCTTATTTTTTTCTTCCTAATTTATGAGTGCCTATCCATTTCTACCTCCCAAAGAAGAAACAAATCAAAGGACAGAAACCTATCAGTCACTTACTTGTTACAGTACATCAGTGATTGTAATAAACATTGTTATGTTATAAAATAATGTCCTATACCAAAGTTTAGTAGGTCATAAAAACTTACACAGCCACTAGCAATTAGATTTTTTCTTCCAATTTAAAAATTTTAAATCTTGATCATATATGAAAATGTATAAAAAGCCTACAGAACCACACTTCTGCCTATAAGAATCAAAAGAAAGGACTTGCATTTTTTTCATCATAAGATCTAACAAATTGTGGATCATACAAATCGTCAAAAGGAAGTTAAAAATAATAGCATGCTAGTCAACTCTTGAAGTTCAGACTTTAATCCAAGCATCACAGGGCAAGAAAATGATTCCAATTAATGAGTCAGCCAAATGTTTCCTGGCATATTTGGGGTTTATAATTGTTTTAAATATGTCACCAGAAAGATTAAATATTTAGTACGGTTGTATTTCTTAATGGTACCCTTTGCTTCTTTTTAGATTTAAGGCAACATCATGATGCCTTAAGAGCCCCAGGAGGAATCCAAGATTTCATTTTAATTAGAGCAACTGTAAGTCTCACATTGGTATTAGGATATAACATCACTTCCACTGGATATTTTCACTTATTATATCTTTCAGATAAATATATATTTCAATAAAAGATATTTCAGGAGTTCCCCAGAGTCTTTGAGCTATTTGGGTCAACCATTTGAGTTAATAACTGAAATATATACAAATATTTGACAACAAAGACTACTAAATGGCTAATTATTAAATTTTAGTAAAAACAAATGAGGTGGACTCACACTTATACATTACCTATAAGATATTAAAATTACTTAGGTTTAGTTATTAATATACACATTGGAATTATGATTAACAAATGATCCTAGACTTACAATATTTTGGGGGAAGGTTTAGGGTTGGAGGAATTCGCAACTATGCTAAGGATTAAACCTAGGGCCTTGAACATGCTAGGCAAACACTCTACCATTAAGCTCCATCCCTGGACCTCAATAATTTTTTATTAATGTTTAGAAACATCTGCCTGAAGACTACTGCCAATATCTTGATCAGTTTTTTTGAAGTTTGGTAGGTAGTTATTTTTCTTCCCTATATTTCATATCCTAAAAATAAACAAATGGGGCTGGGTACTCAGTTGGCACAGTGCTTGGTTCAGAGGCCATAGGTTCAATCCTCAGCACCAAAATAATAATAATAAACAAACAATAGCAGAAAAGGTTAATATTAACATCAAAAATAGTAGGTAAGAACTCATGTAAGTATGTGTGTATGTGTGTGTGTGTGTGTGTGTGTGTATGTATGGTACTGGAGAATAAACTCAAGTAGGCAAGTGCTCTATCACTGAGTTACATCTCAGCCCTTTTTAAATTTTTATTTTGGAGACAGTGTCTTGCTAAGCTACCCAGTCTGGCTTCCAACTTGCAATCCTCTTGCCTCAGTCTCCCAAGTAACTGGGATTATAAGAATGAGTCACCATGCCTGGCAAGAGCTCAGTTTTTATCTCTGATATAAACCATTTTCTATTTCAGTGTTTTTGGTGTCTCCTGTAATCTACATTGGTAGAGAGAGAATGTTTCAGTTACTCCAAGTAATTGGTTAAAAACAGGAAATAATAAAATGATATAATTACTGAAAGTATAAAAGCAGTCATACTGTGGCACAGATCTACAATTAAGTTCCTTTTTGGAGGACACACTCTATTTTTTCTTTGGATGATGTGAATCATTCACATGTTTACTTTTGGGAATCTGTCCTTTCATTTTAACAACATTTATTCTGAACATGTTAAAGGTTTTATTAATGTATCTTCTTTGTTCTACAATTTATATATATTAACATTTTGAGAAAAAGTACATAGCTTTGAATGACATGTTCATATATAGGCACAATACAGATTATCCAAAAATCCTCCCCTCTGACCTTTGGAGGAGGTCAGTTCAAAGCAGGTCATGGTACAGTTTTCAAGTTTCATCAGCAGTAAATTTGAAATTGATGAGATTGTTTTCTTCTATGGTCAGAAGCCAATTAACTAATTTTCAGGATAAAATTATCTAGTTACTACATAACTGGCCACGGAGAAGCAAACTACAGTTAGAAAAAGCAAAGAAGGGCTGAGGATATGCCTCCTTCTCATTTTTTCAATGCAGCTGTGGTACCAAATTACACTGGAAGGAACATGCTTTTTCTGAGACATAAGTGCAGGCATGAGCCCATCTCACTGTCCCCTAAATACAATAAAACCTTTGATGGCAAGGTAGTGATACAGAAATTGTACCTAACTGATAAGTATATCAAAAGATGAAAATGGCCGAGTGTGATGGTGCACACCTGTTATCCCAGCTACTCAGGAAGCTGAGGTAAGAGGAACACAAGTTAGAGGCCAGCCTGAGCAATTCAGACAGACCCTGTCTCAAATAAATTTTTAAAAGGACTGGGGATGTAGCTCAGTGGTAAACAACGCTGGGTTCAATACCAGTACAACAAAAAAAACAAAACCCTGGCGTTTCTTTAGCTGCCTGAAAGGAGTATGCCAAGCTTACACAGACTGACTCTATACTGAGGTATCTATGAAAGGGCTCAGGGATCTGTGCTGATACGGAGGACAGGCACCAAGGCTTGGTGATAGTCAAAACCCTTCATCTGAGCTAGTGTGCTCAGGATTCTAATACCATGCCCCCTTTGTTAAAGATGCCTGCAAACCATAAACAGAGGTAAAGAAACAAATGAATTTATTTTCCATCCTATGTTCTAAAGAAAAGATTAATGAGCAGCAGCATTTAATAGCTGATGCCACGGGTCTCAGACCAAGTCTCCCACTGGCATTCATTACTTTTCTAGAGTTTCTTTCGTTTTTTGCTAAGCAGACAAATTCTAAATAAATTGGCCAAACCTTCATTGTGTCCTTCTGTTTAACAGGTTAATAATTTCAAAGATCAGATATAACTGAGGAAGAAACTAGTTAGGCAGTTCTTTTCTGTCTTTACTATAATCAGTTTTTCTGAGATGAAGATAATATATCATATGTACAGATCACCTTTCTTCTGATAAGTTAGAAGTACCTTTTCTAATATTTAAATACCTAATTTTACAAATGCAGACCAACCAGTATGCCTGCTAAGTAAATTTTTCATGGTATGTTATGGTTTGGATATGAGGTGTCCTACAAAAGCTCCTGTTAATGCAGAAATGTTTAGAAGTAAAGACTGCATGAGCTATAACCTAATCAGCCATCCTAGTTTGAATGGACTGACTGGTGGTAATTGTAGGCAGGTAGGGCGGGGGAGGTAAGTCACTGGGGGTGGGGGGTGCCCTAGAAGGGCTCATCTGTGTGTGGCCTCTTCCTCCCCCTTTCTCTCTGCTTCCTGGCCTCAACAAAAGCTGAACAGCTTTCCTTTGCTGGGCCCTTTCCTATGATATTCTGTCTCACCTCCAGCCCAGAGCAATGGAGCTGGCTGTCTAGGACTTAGACCTATGAAACTGTGAGCCCCAAATAAATGTTTTCTCCTTTAAGTTGTTCTTGTTAAGTATTTTGTTTGGAGACATAAAAGCTGACTAAAGCATATTAACAGTGAGTTTATGTGCAGAGAAACAGAGAACCCTGGTCTCTCTTTGCCAAATGCATGTTGTAAGTTATACTTTGAAGATAACACTGTCTTCGCAGATGTTGACTCCTTTACTTCCCCATACACAGTATTGAAATATTTTGTTAGGAACACACGAAATGCATTCATAAGTCAATTAGTCTTAGATTTTAGAGGTGTCTGGGCAATTTTTTTTTTTTTAATTTGAACCTTGTCACTCTATTCCTAAATTTTTCCCATGTGAATTACACAATGATATTCATTTATCAAGCTCATAAGTTTATAAGATCCCTTTGGTGATACCTTTTCGCCAAGCCTAATGCTGCCACATTTCAGAATGTTGATGTCATTTTTGCAGTCATCCATAAAACCACAGATTAAACGGTAATCACTGAAAATGATGGCCGTCATCTTGGTAATGTATTGGTGACACTGGTACTCAGTGATGTTGCCTCGGTGATCCACCAAGCAGGAAACCATGTAACCTTTTCCAACTGGTTCATCCGCACATTCTTTAATCTGTTCAAAAGAAAGTGGCTGATTTATACAAATATTCCGTGCTTGAGTCAAACAACTTTTTTTTTCCAAAATTTTTTTTAGTTTTTGAAGGACCTTTATTTTATTCATTTATTTATATGTGGTGCTAAGAATCGAACCCTGTGCCTCACACATGTGAGGCAAGCGCTCTATCACTGAGCCAACCCCAGCCCTGAATCAAATTACTTCTAAGAAAGAGATATTTGGTACTTTCCTATTGATTTCCTAACTTTTTAATTGGGAGAAAAAAGGAAAGCATTTAGAAATATATTCATTTAGGGCTAGGGTTGTGGATCAGCAGTAGACCAGTTACCTACCACATGCAAGGTGCTGGGTTCTATCCTCAGCATCACATAAAAATAAATAAAGTAAAGGTTAAAAGAATAATAATAATGTAGCTGGGTTCGGAGTTGCACACCTGTAATCCCAGCTACTCAGGAGGCTGAGGCAGAAGGATCGTGAGTTCAAACCCAGTCTTAGCAACTTAGTGAGTCACTAAGCAACTCGGCAAGACCCTGTCTCTAATAAAATTAAAAAGGGCTGGGGATGCAGCTTGGTGGTTAAATGCCCCTTGGTTCAATCTCTGGTACTAAAAAAAAAAAAAGTGTCATTCTGTGATATTATAACAGATACTCCCCCAAACTTATTCTAAGAGGCTAATAAGAGGCCAAAACTAGGCAAAGATACATCAAAGAAAGAAAACTTTAGACCAATATCTCTAATGAACACAGATGCAAAAATTCTCAATAAAATTCTGGCAAATCGAATACAAAAACATATCAAAAAGATAGTGCACCATTATCAAGTGGAATTCATCCCAAGGATGTAAGGTTGGTTCAACATATGGAAATTAATAAATGTATTTCATCACATCAATAGACTTAAAGATAAGAATCATATTATCATCTCAATAGATGCAGAAAAAGCATTTGACAAAATACAGCAGCCCTTCATGTTCAAAACACTAGAAATACTAGGGATAATAGAAGCACATCACAACATCGTAAAAGTAATCTATGCTAAGCCCCAGGCCAACATCATTCTAAATGGAGAAAAATTGGAGCATTCCCTCTAAAAACTGAAACAAGACAGGGATGCCCTCTTTTACCACTTCTATTTAACACAGTTCTTGAAACACTGGCCAGAGTAATTGGACAGACCAAAGAAATTAAAATTCCACCAGAAAACATTTAAAACTAGTAAATGAATTCAGCAAAGTAGCAGGATATAAAATCTACACCCATAAATCAAAGGCATTTCTGTATATCAGTGACAAATCCTCTGAAAGGGAAATGAGGAAAACTACCCCATTTACAATAGCCTCAAAAAAATAAAATACTTGGGAATCAACCTAACAAAAGAGGTGAAAGACCACTACAATGAAAACTACAGAACATTAAAGAAAGAAATCAAAGAAAACCTTAGAAGATGGAACAATCTACCTTGCTCTTTGGATAGGCAGAATTAATATTGTCAAAATGACCATACTACCAAAAGCACTCTACAGATTTAATGCAATTCCAATCAAAATCCCAATGATATTACTCACAGAAATAGAAAAAGCAGTCATAAAATTCATCTGGAAAAATAAGAGACCCAAGAATAGCTAAAGCAATCCTTAGCAGGAAGAATGAAACACTATACGAGACCTTAAACTATACTACAGAGCTATAGTAACAAAAATGGCATGGTATTGGCACCAAAACAGACTTGTAGACCAATGGTACAGAATAAAAGACACAGAGACAAACCCACATAAATACAGTTATCTTATATTAGACAAAAGTGCCAAAAACTTATATTGGAGAAAAGATAGCTTCTTCAATGAATGGTGCTGGGAAAACTGGATATCCAAATGCAACAAAATGAAATTAAAACCTATCTCTCTCACCATGCACAAAACTCAACTCAAAGTGGATCAAAGACCTAGAAATTAAACCAGAGACCCTGTACCTAATAGAAGAAAAAGGTGACTCAAATCTATATCATGTCAGATTAGGCCCCAAATTCTTTTAACAAGACACCTATATCACAAGAAATAAAATCAAGAATCAATAAATGGGATGAATTCAAACTCAAAAGCTTCTTCTCAGCAAGAGAAACAATCAGTGAAGGGCTGGGGTTGTGGTTCAGCGACAGAGCTCTTGCCTCACATATGTGAGACACTGGGTTCAATTCTCAGCACCACATAAAAATGAATAAACAATTGGCTTTGAAGGAGACAGAGGGGCAGATTTCAGGAGGGTGAGAGAAGGTCAGAAAGACTTGGTTTTGAGGCTTTTCCAATTTCCTTCAATTCAAAGTACTCACTTGCCAAAGTATCATACATCAGAATAGCATGTTCTGAGTCCCAATTGTCACCCACTATGTGTGGTATCTCAAAACATTTAAAATAAAACACCTTTATTCTGAGGTGCAGGAACTATTTAAAAAAAATGAAAAACAAAAATAAAGATATCATGCCCTTATGTAACTAACAACAACAAAAAACAAAAACAATCAGTGAAGTGCATAGAGAGCCTACAGAATGGGAGCAAATTTTTACCATATGCACATCAGATACAGCACTAATCTCTGGGATATATAAAGAACTAAAAAATCATAACACCAAAAAAAATCCAATCAATAAATGGGCCAAGGAACTGAACAGATACTTCTCAGAAAATGATATACAATCAATCAACAAATGCATTAAAAAAATGTTCAACATCTCTCGCAATTAGAGAAATGCAAATCAAAACTACTCTAAGATTTCATCTCACTCCAATCAGAATGGCAGCTATTAAGAATATAAAAAGGGCTGGAGATGTGGCTCAAGTGGTAGCACGCTCACCTAGCATGCATAAGGCACTGGGTTTGATTCTCAGCACCATGTAAAAATAAAATAAAGATATTGTGTCCACCTAAAACTAAAAAAGAAATATTTTTTTTAAAAAAGAATATAAACAACAATAAATGCTGGATGTGGGGGAAAAGGCACGCTCTTACATTGCTGGTGGGACTGCAAATTGGTGCAACCAATCTGGAAAGCAGTATGGAGATTCCTTGGAAAACTGGGAATGGAATTACCATTTGACCCAGCTATCCCACTCCTTGGTTTATACCCAAAGGACTCAAAAACAGCATACTACAGTGACACAGCCACATCGATGTTTATAGCAGCACAATTCACAATAGCTAAATTGTGGATCCAACCTAGATACACTTCAGTAGTTGAATGGATAAAGAAACTGTGGTATTTATACACAATGGAATACTACTCAGCATTAAAAGAGAATAAAATCATGGCATTTGCAGGTAAATGGATGGAGTTGGAGCATATAACACTAAGTAAAGTAATCCAATCCCAAAAACCAAATGCCGAATATATTCTCTGGCATAAGGATGCTGATTCATAATGCGGATGGAGGGGACCATGGGAAGAATAGACAAACTCTAGATAAGGCAAAGGGGAGGGAGGGAAAAGGAGGGGACAAGGGAGTAGGAAAGACAGTGGAATGAGATGGATATCATTACCCTAAGCACATGTATGAAAATACAAATTGTGTGACTCATACTTTGTTTTCAACCATAGACATGAAAAATTGTGCTCTATTTGTGTCATATGAATTGAACTGCATTCTGCTGTCATATATGACTAATTAGAATAAAAATTTTTTTAAAAAGAATAATGTGCCATTCTGTGATATTATAACAGATACGCCTTTTTTTTTTTGGTCCATAGTTCTTGGCTTGCAACTTCCTTCCCAAAGCAGGTCACAGAAATTAGAATTTCTCTTCCCCAAGTCAGGTCATAGAGACTGTAATCCTCCTGGTAAATTAAATTTTTAAATCCTTCCTTGTCCAGTACCAGGTTATAAGATCCTGTTCATTCCACAGGGGTGCTTCCCCATTCTCTAGAGGGAGGGAGGAGAGCTGCATGGAGAGGCCAAGGAGAGTGCTAAAATCCTTCGGCCCTTGCTGAGTTTCCTCACTCAGTTTGGCATCAGCTATGCAATGAAGTCTCCATAAAAGTCCTAAAGGACAGGATTTAGAGAGCTTCCCAAGAACTAAACATGCAGAGGTTCCTGGAATGTGAGGTGCCACCCCCCATACCTTGATGGATGCATGTCTTCATTGGATCCTTTGAAATAGCCTTTACAATAAATCAGTAAATGTGTTTCCATAAGTGAACCACTGGAGCAAATTAATAGAACCTGAGGGGGTTGTGGAAACTCTGATTTATAACTGTTCATTCAGAAGCAGGTAAAACCACCTGGTGCTTGTGACCTAAAGGGGTGGGGACATCTTAGGAAATGAGCCTCAACCTGTAAGATCTGACAGTCTCTAGGTAGATAATGTCAGAACTGAATTGAATTAGAAGACACTAGGCTGGTGTCCCTGAAAACAGCTCACTCACTAGTGGGCAAGTCCCCACACATCTGATGTTAGAGACATAGACACTGTTTTTTATAGACATTCATGGCTACCCAGATTATTGTGCCTTTTAAGAAATACATGATTAATGTGTTCTGTAAGAAAATACAATCATACCCAAACACTTAGGTAGAATCCATTTCTAAATGGAGTAAGAAGAGATGCTAACATCTATAACTGACAAGTAGAGAAGTCCTTTTAACTATGTGCAGAATGCAGTAGGCAGTGAGGAGATGAATCAAAGGAGCAGGTCAGGAAAACAGGGGTAGAACTGGAAATCTAGCTGTGTGTCCAAGCCAAGCTACACAGCAAACTACTGTCATTAGGGAGAGATTCTGTTGAAATTTATACTAGGGATATTGCTGAGGAAGAAAAGCATGCTTTGTTTCAAGTTAATATGATAGAATCTCCCAAACCTTTTTGTATTTAGGACAACTACTATTATAATGATTAGCATTTCATTATAGAATTTCAGGTTTCCCCAACCCATTTATTCCTTCCTTTTGTTATACTAGGTTACCATATCCGTGCTAAATTTAAATCAAGATACAGTAATTCTTTTTTTTAAAATTTTTTGTAATTGTAGATAGACTTTATTTTATTTGTTTATTTTATGTGGTGCTGAGGATCGAACCCAATGCCTCACATGTGTGAGGCAGGCACTCTGTCACTGAGCCACAACCCCAGTCCCTAATATTAATTCTTGATAACATTTAATATGTTCTGCATTAACTATGGATTTGGACACGTTTCTGAATGTAGTAGAATACAAGTTTATCTGTTGTGGTCTAGAACAGAAACATGTTTAAAACAATGTTCAAGTGGGGGTATAGTAGTACATATCTGTAATCCCAGAAACTGAGGCAGGAGGATTGAAAGTTTGGGGCTAGGCTTAGCAACTTAGTGAAAATCTATATCAAAATTAAAAAAATAAAAAGCGCTGGTCTGTAGCTCAGAAGAAAAGTGCCCTGGGTTAAATTTCCAGGACCTAAATAAATAAATAAGAAACAAATTTTGCTGTGCATGTGTACCTGTAACCCCAGCAGCTCAGGAAGGGGAGGCAGGAGGAACACAAGTTCAAAACCAGCTTCAGCAATTTAACAAGACTGTAAGAACCTAGTGAGACTCTGCCTCAAAAAAAAAGGCTGAGATGTGGTGTGGTTGTTAAGCACCCCTGGGTTCAATCCCAATTCCAAAAAAAAAAAAAAAAAAGCAACAGAATATTCTGGAATTTTAGTAATCAGTTGCACACTGGCTTGAAGGGCAACAGAGATCTTCAGTAGTTAAGATGGATGATACCTAAAAACAGGGTCATGAGTATATTTCCAATCAAAGGGTTTGGTTTTGGAGGGTACTGGGGATTGAACCCAGGGGTGCTTAAACTTCCAGCCCTTTTATTTTTGTCTCAGTCTCCTGAGTCACTTGAATTACGGCATGGCTGGGGATATGGCTCAGTGGTAGTGCTTGCCTATCATGCAAGAAGCCCTGGATTCAATCCCCAGCACCACCAAAAAATAAAAATAAAATAAAAAATTACCCAAATACAAAAAAGATACTCAAATACCACAATTTTCATTAATATCATTAAAAAGTTTCCCTTAGTATCTGTACAGTGCTATACATTTTCATTAATTTTTCCTTTATACTCAGTATCAATTTCTAACTATATAAACATTGATACCTTTAACCTTTATAGCACTAGCTTTATAGCACTAGCTCCTTACTGAAGCTTATACTTCTGTGGTTCAATTGATCCAAATGCAGAGCCAAAGCACTGAGGAGTGTGAAGCTTCCAGGGGTTTGGATTAGCCTCTGGCCTGGCAGATTGTAACAGGTGTGGGAGCAGCACTGATAACCTCAGCAGTGGCTCTGGATGGTTTGGGACTGAGAGAACCTGATCTTGAAAAGAAGTTTAATTACACCCCCCCTTCCTATCTCTGAATCAAGTCAGTTGTCAATTTCCAAGAAAGATAAAAATAACCAAGTTATTCCTTTCTTAAAGACTGTTCTGGTCAACAGATATAATTTTCTCTTCTGAGTCATTTAATATTTATGAAATTATTTTAAAACCTACCTCCGATATGGTTGATTTGCAAACCTCTCTGGCCACAGACTCAAACTTGGGATCAGTAGTCAGGTTCAGCTTGTAATTCCACAATAACTAGGTTCAAGGGGAAAAACCAAACAAGGGAGAAACAAAGAAAAAAATCCTCTAGTTAGAATATTATGAAATTTATCATTAGAGGTTAAATTATGTTAATTATACTGTCAAATAAAAACATTTTTGCATCAAGTAACAAAAAGTAAGACAAAATACCATCACATTTATAGATAAGAGGAAGAAAACATGCAGACAAAACAAAAGCAGTACCATTCAGACATTTTTTTCCAATTTTACTAAATAATTTTTTTAAAAAACTATAAGTTAAAAATCATTTAGTGTTAAGAAAAAACTTAAATATTAAAATTCCCAATGAAGTTTTCAGAGACAAAATAAACAGGTTGTGTAGGCTAAATTTGCTTAAACCAAAAAGTCTAACTCAGATACTCAGACGAGGTGGGTTTTGTCTCAGATTTCACAAGCAACAATACTTTCATAGATCAATCTTATGAAGGAGAACTGCCCAGGATCTAGTTTCTAGGCTTATCTATCTAATTCCTTTAAAATTCTTGACTTGAAGCTGGGGATGCAGCTCAGTGCCACCACTTACATAGCATGCTCTAGGCCCTGGGTTTGATTTCCAGCACTGCTTGCCGCCCCCACCCCACACCCAAGCTAAGATCAAAATACCTGATTTTACACACACACACACACACACACACACACGTATACACACATTTTATAAAATTAAAGCCATTATTATTCCCAGGTGAGGGCTGAATACTATTTTATCTTTGAAGCTTCAGTTAAATAATTTCAATAAATTATCCTTAAAAGTACTTAAAAGTAGCAAAAATGAGCCTTCGAACTGCTCAGAACAAAGAATAGAGGCTTTGGATGATGCAGAACATGAAGAGGTTTTGTTTTTTTTTTTTTTTTTTGGGGGTCCATTTCTTTCTCTCTGACTGCTATACTCCAGGTATAAACAGTCCAGGTAAAAACAGTCATTTACTGAATTAGTTAAACATTCTCTTAGCACTTTCTTTGTGCCACACACAGGAGCTTCACAGGCCACTGGAGGAAACAGAAGCGTTACAAAGAGTCCATACTAGGTTCAGGCACTAATCCAGAGATGGGGGAATAAAGCAGAAGGAAAAAGACTCACACTGGATGGTGGTGGCTAAGGTCAATGGCAGAAGTGATTAACCAGGTGCCACAGCAAGACAGGGAAGGAATGCCCCAGATGGAGGTGGAATGAGGGCTTTGGTCAGGGAAAGTTTACTGGAGAAAATGCTATCTAAGATGAAGAGAAACCTCAAAGGTCAGAAGTAGCAGCCAGATTAAATGGTAGGGAGAAGTCTGTTTTAAATAAATGAAGCTGCATGCATGGGAACAGGGCATGTTAGAGGAATTCAAAGTCCAAGGGAGGATGACTCAGGAGACACAAGCCAGATAAGAAAGCCCTGTAAACTATACCTGACCTTCAGCCCCAAAGTAAGGGTAGTCACTGAAGGGTTATGATCAGGGCTGTACTTTTGAAGTAGAACAGAGGCATATATAAACTGCACTAAGCACAACACAGAAGCAAGCAGCTAAATCAGTATAAGCACTGAAGAAGATCTGGAAAAGAAGTACATAAGTCACGGAGGGCCTGGGGAGGAATTCCACTAGACTGCGGAATGCTCTGTGGAGAGGGGAAGGAGGTGGCCCGGTGGACCGACTGGCGGTAGTTTCTAGGTCATTCCTCCAGCGGCCAAGTGTTCTAGAGCCAACAGTTCTACTGCAAAGAATGTGAATGAAAGAGAAGGGTGTCCTGTGTCCTCGCTCTTCTTCCTTTTGTACAGACCCACAGACTAATACCCCGCAGGTTAAACGCAAGTCACATTTTGCCTTCCGCATTAGCCTATTTCCAAAACTAAAGTTAAATTTTACGGGCCAGGATGTAGCTGTGTGGTAGAGTACATATTGCTTGAAGCCATGGATGGGTTTAATCCCCACCACCAGAAGGAGGAAGTGGGGAGCTTTACTATTAACGTTAAAAAACGGAGAAGGGGGCTGGGGTTATAGCTCAGCAGCAGAGAGCTTGACTCGCACATCTGGGGCACTGGGTTCGAGCCTCAGCACCACATAAAAATAAAGATATTGTATCCATATTAAAAAAATCTTTAAAAAAACAGGGAGGAAGGGGCTGGGGATGTGGCTTAAGCCGTAGCGCGCTCGCCTGGCATGCGTGCGGTCCGGGTTCGATCCTCAGCACCACATACAAACAAAGATGTTGTGTCCGCCGAAAACTGAAAAATAAATATTTAAAAAAAAAAAAAAAACAGGGAGGGAGGGGGAAGTGCTGGGGAATGATATTGGGCAAACTGTATTGTTACATCGTGTGCATGACGAATATGTAACAGCAAATCCCATCAATATGTACAACTATAATGCACTAATAAAAATGTAAAAAATAAAACAATGACATTAAAAAAAAAAGAAGTACATATGTGGGGTTTCTTCTCTTTCCCCCTCCAAAAATACAATGGAAAGCTCTAATCACCCAACCACCAGCAATAAGCTCAGCCACAGGAGGACAAAAGAAGGAAGAGTCAAACTGGAAAGAAAATAAGCAATCAAAATACAGTGTGATAAATGTGATAGCAGAAGCATGCAGAGGACATTATGGGAATACAAAGGAAGAACACAGCCCAGTGAGTGTTGGAGAAGCAGGTAGAGGTGGCAGTGGTCAAATTATCCCGGGGTCATTCCACAAGGATTAGAAGGAATTCTGCCAGATGAACTGAGGGAGACTGGGATACCAGGTACGGAAAGGTAAGGAAGACAGAAGGGTGAGGGTAAATCATGGGAACCTATGTGGTTTGGATGGATTGGAGTTGAGGGTATTGAAGATGAGGGGTAGAGGAGCAGGGTCAGATCACACTGAGCTCTGCAGTTCATACTAAGAATTCTTTTTAAAAAAATGTTTATTTATTTTTTTAGTTGTAGCTGGACACAATACTCTTATTTCGTTTATTTTTATGTGGTGCTGAGAATCGAACCCAGGTCCTTCTATGTGTTAGCTGAACTTTTTACTGCTGAACCACAATCCCAGCCCCCATACTAAGGATTTTAAAGTTTATCTTAAAGGAAACAGAAAGCTAGTAGATAATTTTAACCAGAGAACTCAGAGATCAACTCTGATTACAGTGTGGAGAAGGGTAAGATTGGGGAAGGTTAATAGATCTCTTAAGAGGCAAGAACTGATTTGGATGAGAGAAAATGAGATATACTCGAGATAAGGAGAATAAAGTACAAGACAATGTTTTTTTGTGTGTGAGGGGGTGAAGGATAATTCTTTCTCCATAGTCAAATTCCCTGAAAATATAGTCTATAGTTCATTTTATCTACTTCCTCTTTCATTCACCCTCAGAAATTTCAAGTGAATGCTACCTATTTAGTCAAATAGTTCTATAAAGATAATTTAAAAACCAAAATAGGGCTGGAATCAAACCCAGAGCTTCCTGAGTACTACAAAAATAAATAAATAAAATAATAAAATCAAATATATAAAAATCAAAACAAGCAGTTACTGAAAAACTCCTCCCTAGAGGAGTTTTTGCCTTTTCTTATAATTATCTCTATATCTGTAAACTAGTGCTTATACTGCTATTTCTTAATTTGTCAGTTTTAGGTATTCTATAATTTATACTATAGATGAAGAATGAACTCTCATGCCCTTCTTCCTGATTCCAGTCTTCTCAACATAGTCAAGTCATAACGTCAGATACTCAAAATTTTAATTATATAAGAAATTTTATGTGTATGTGTGTATACACACACACACACACACACACACACACACACCCCAATGTAAATATTATATTTCTTCTCCTATAGAACTTTTAGTCTGTCCTACAGTTAATTGTCATTTACTTCATAGGCCTATTTTTCAACATACTCATTACTAATTAATCCTACTTAGTCTCTTTACCAGAAATGTGCTTCTTCTCTCAAAATATTCAAACCTATCAGTAATCAACCAGGTGAGACATTCTTCAGCAGTTTTCTGTCTCACTTAAGCAGGTCTGGCAGCTCCCTAGGCTTCTGAACAGGTGTCACCCTTCACCAGTTTCCTTAGGATGTCCTTTGCTCTTGTCTTGTGCTGAGTCATTAGTTACTGGGTTCTTTATTTTTCTGTCTTGTGTATCGTATCCCCTTAGTTTGTTGATGTACAGTAGCTTTTTGAAAAATACACGGGTCATAAATGTTTTAAAAACTGCAGGTCTGGAGTATCTTTATTGTATATTACTTTGAATGAACACTATTCCTCATACTTTCAAAGGCATCGGTCCACTATCTCCTAGCTTCTAAGAAGTATAGAATTCAAATCTATGTATTTTGATTATGACTTGTTTATTTTTTCCTCTCTGAAAGGTTTTGTATCTCCCCCACCCTGCCCCTTCAAATTCTGATGTTTCACTGACATGTGCCATGCTGTGGACTATCTTTCCACCTATGGCACTGGGTATTTGGTGAAGTCTTTGAATTTAGAAATACATATCCTTCAGTTCCTACAAGTTTCTTCCCTCCCCCTCCCCCAAGTGCCTACTATATGCCAAGTACTGTTTAAGGCAGCAATGAGCAAAAAAATGTGAAAATTCCCTGCTTTTAAGGAGTTTACCTTCTATGAAGAAAGAAATAATATGCAAATAATCAAAAGAATACGTCAGATGATACACTAGGGTAGAAGGAGGGATTGGTGCTATTTTATATATAAGGGAGGAATGTGGGTATCCACAGAAGGTGAAATATTCTGTTTTATTTATTTATTTACTTCTGTAGTACTAGGGGTTGAACCTAGGGCCCAGCACATGCTAGCAAGTCTCTACCACTGAGCTACATACATTCCAGGCCCCCATCCCCTTTTTTTGGTCACCTGAGATTGAACCCAGGAATACTTAACCACTGAGCGACATCCCCAGCCCCTTTTTTATATTTTATTAGAGACACGGTCTCACTTAGTTGCGTAGGGCCTCATTAAGTTGCTGAGGCTGGCTGTGAACTCTCGGCCTCCT